TTTCAACTTCACCTCGCCAGACTCAGATGATCCATCTTCGGCTCCAGTCCATGAGACCTTGAACTCCTGATCAGGACTATATTGAGTTCCCTCCCCAGTCAAAGCAACATCCGTCATCATCTCCAACCGACACAAAGCAAGTCCGATGTTTCCAACACCACCTAAGAACTTGCCCGCACTACGGCCCTTGCGCGCGCTGACCTTGGAAATATTCGACCCGGATGGCGGCAACTCCACCTCCACAGAGGGGTCGTACACGGGCATATCGGCCGATTCCAAATCCCCTAGACTCCCTTCATACAACTGAACCGGAAGTATACGCTTTCTCACAACACCAGTATGATGGGTCCGGATCGTAAGTTCCTGACCGACATAGCATCCCTTGCGGAAATCAATGCCCCGCATCATATCCATGTTCGACTCCAACGGAAGTGCGGACTCGCGAATGATCTCCGACTGCCCTTCCGCAACGCCATGTAACATCCGTCGCACGGTGTAAGAGCCCAGATCCACCTCCGATCCATACCCCTCTCCTTCTGCCCCCGCCAGATGCGTCGTCAAGTCTCCCTCTCCCGGCGTGATGAGCCTGGATCCAAATCCTGGTGCGCGGGTATCCACACACCCGGTGACCGTCGCGGAGGACGAGGCAAAGGGTGAAAAAGACTGAGAATCCAGATTGTACGCTGCCCACCGCGGTTCACTATGGTCCTTCCATGAGGCCCACACAGTGCGTTCTCCCTCATCCAGGGCACGTAGCTTCAGTTTCGCGCGGAGTTTGTGTTTTTTGAGATGCTTCAGGAGACTCGTGACTTCGCTCTTGTCCACCTCTACAAGCCATGCATGTTCGTCCGGTGAAGTGCCCTCTGCCTGGGGCAGTGGGTAGAGGAAGGCGTCGTTGAGCACGCGGCCTTGGGAGTTCAGGAAGGCAGTGTAGGAGCCCGTTCGACGGGTCGGGCGGTTCGGGTCGTTCGTAATGAGCATGTTCTGCGTGATTAAGCCTTGGAGATATGAGGTGCTATCTATGCCCGTTATGGAGATTAATCCGCGGTTCGTGAGACGTGCATATCCGGTTGCTGGCGGGGAGGGAGGGTTCGGGGTGCTGGATCGTGGGGCGCAACGCTGGATGGTCGTGGAGAAGTGTCGATTGCGACTGAGGCATTGCGCACATATTGTGCGTGTAGATGGGCTGGAGCGCATCATGTTTGTGGGATGAAACTGAAATCAAATCTGCATAGCGTTTACAAATCAAAGGCCCATGAATGACATCGTCGGCAGAGCGGTGGGGAATGGCAGAATATAGAGCATGACATAATCCGTCTTACGAGCTAGCCGAAATGGGAGTGTAGCTGGATGGATGGTTCTCCGTAGCATGGGCAATATCAAATTGAATTCAAGATCATGAAGCAACAGACCGCTAACTTCATTAGAGACTCATATGTATAACTGACGGGGTCCTATTAAACAATATTGACCAGGTTACTTATTTCCTTTCGCAACTCCTTCCAGAAACCCAAGCAAGAAAGCCTTGTTGACAGGCGAAGAGACCTTATTGGCGTTAGATGCCTGACTATCCTCCATTTCATGGGGCGTCTGGCCAACGTTAGGAACAGCGGGCAAATTGACCGGTGACAATGGACTAACGACAGAAGAAGGCTGCGATGGTTTCGGAACAGATGCGCTCAGTTCCGCAGGAGAAATGTTTGGGGAGACAGATGATTTGCCAAAGAGTGACAAGAGCATCTCCTTTTGCGCAACAGTTTGACTCGGTCGACGGTCGAAGCTCGGTTGAGGCTGCGAATGCCGAGGAGATTCTGTGGAGCGCGCGGCGGCCTGTTGATCTTGATTCTCATTGAGTGCAGTCCGAATCGGGAGAAGATTGATCGCATTTGGATGATCAGAGCGACGTAGAATTTGCGGCTGGAAGGGTTTCGGTGGCTCTGGAGAACTGGGTTTCGGCCCCCTAGGCTGGGAGGGAGGACGGGAGGATTGCGGAGAAGCGCGGGCGGAAGGCTGTTCCTTAGCGGCTTGCGGCCTTGCCAGGATTGTTATAGGGGCCGTGACAGCTGATGCCTGCTCAGTTCTGGGTCCTTTGCGATTCGGCCCATTCTGTCCCTTTCTCGATGGCTTTTGAGTTCCAGGCTGTAGAGTATGCATGGTCGGTCCAGAGGCTGGTGCAGAAGTCCATGGTTTAGCCGCGGGCGAACTGCGCCGCGCAGGGCTCTGGTCACCCCGGGGCCGTTGAAGGACTTGTTTTCTAGCCGGGGACACTGACTGACCCGATAGTTCGGCCGGCCCAGAGACAGCAGGAGCCGGGGACCCTCTCAGCAGATTAAGGAGCTGATCCTGATGCTGTGATGATCTTCGTTCATTGGCTGGTGCCGCTCCTGTATGTGACACCAAGGTCGCCTTAGGCGTCTTGGGTGTTTTGGTCGAGTCATCCTTAAAAACATTCAACAGAGCCAGTGAATGGCTCGTAAGCTTCGGTGGAGGCAACTTGCTCGCCGGTGGCACAGTCGCACCCTGAACTTGGGAAGGCTGACCTGATTGAGAGAATTGAGGATCACCCGTGCGATGGTAGGGGGCAGGGGCGGCTTGACTCTGCGGAGCGGGAGCGAGTTCTGCCAGTGAACCTGTCTCCTTGTAGAAGTGTGATGCAAGCGACTGTTGAGGGGGGAACGTTCCGTGAAAATTGCCCGATGGCCCCGGAGGAGCGGCAGAAAGCGGTATTTGATTCAACGGGCCATGAGACATTGCATTGACAATGGATGCTGGTAGATGTGGTACAGGACCGTGATTTGGTTGTGGGTATGACGGCAAGCTGGGAGGTACCCCGACATGAGGGCCTTGTTGAGGAAAGCCCGGGAAGAAGCCCATCGCGGGATGAGGCCGACTCACAGGAGGCACACTTCCTGGGGGAGGTGCTGGAGTCGATTGCTGCTCTGGAATAGGGGCTTGTGGAAGGGATTCACGAGACGAGCCGGTCCTCAGCAGCTCTAAGAGAGCATTAGATTTAGAGGCACTAGGCCCGGACACTGGCGAATGGGTGACCGGCGATGGATTCTTAGGGGGAACCAGATTGTTAATATTGAGAAGGCGCTTAAGGTGAGCAGAGGCGTCTTGGGTCGACGCAAGTTCTGGCAAGTCACTGGGCGTAGCCATTTCCGCAGCGGCTTGGTTTGGTGTGAAGCTGTGCACGGCATGGGAAGCTTCGTCAATCGACATGTCGTTCGGCATAGGTAACTTCGGGCCACCTGGCAGCTTTCCTTCAAGCCTCTTTTGTTGGGCAATCCACTTCTTGAGGGGATGCATAAACGGAGCTACCATGTAGAACTTGTTCGCATTGGCGACGACGAAGCCTTGATCTTGCTGCTTGCTCTTCTTGAGGGTCGGCAACTCCGACAGCTTGTACCACTCAATCTTGCTGATCTCCTTGCGGGTACGCGGCTCGAAATGAGCATCCTGTGGCACGCCCCGGAAAACATACAGCCTCATGTGCTGCTCTCTCATGGTGATTTCGATGAACTTGACATCTTTCTCATCTTGGACCAATCCAGCTTGTCGAACGTCAAAACCAGTTTCCTCGTACACTTCCCGGATGGCACAGTCGATGTCTTTCTCATCTTTGTTGATTTTGCCTCGTGGGAAACTCCAGTTGGCGCCCTTCTTCCAGCCTTTGACTAAGACCACCTCATCCATGTCATGATTGAGCATGATGGCACCGCGCACCGGGACCCGGGTTTTGTAGGCCAAGAATTCGGAAAACGCGGTGATGTGGTGATAGTGCGACCATTGGGACATCAATGGGCAATGCTGAAAGATGCGCAAAGCGAAGGCTTTCAGGGACAAGGACGGAAGAGCCGGATCCAACGGCCGAATGAAGTCTTCGTAGAACCATTGTGCTTCTTCAACCTGAAAACAGATGCGTTCAACAGATTCGAGCTCTTCTCGGGGTAAGTTAATGATGAAGCGAACACACAAATCATCCAGCCCTGCCCGGAGCCATCCAAGTTAGCACAGCCGAGGTCACCTTAGCCACGCGGGCGGGGGGGAAGACAAGCGTCAAGGCGAGACTCACAGTCTTCCAACTGCATCTTTGTTTCTGTCATACTGGACAACGTGCTCTAGCATTTCAGCAGAGGTAAGGACAGGCAAGGAGCTCTCCGAACGTCAAGCGGAGAGAGCGCGAGGCGGAGCGAACGAGGACTGAGGGGACAGCACAGCGCGCTGCTGCAGCTTCAAGGAAGGGTGCTTGGCAAGCGCCAACCCTGAAGCGTACTTTTGCAAGAAGGCTAAGAAGGCAGGGATTCGAGGGCAAACCAATTGGCTTATCTACCTCCAAGCAAGAGAAGAAGCGCTGATAGGTGGGTAGAGAGTGAGGGAACTGTGGCTCTTCTGGTCGACACCCGACGGCCTAACAATAATGGAGGACGGCTAAGAGTGAGCTGCGAATGAGTTGGGTTGGGTTGGGTTTGGGGAAAGTCACTAATTAGTTACTAGTACCAACTAGTCTAGTCCGCTTATGGGAACCAGCTGACTGCGCCACAGTTGGACATGTGGCGCAAACACAGCAAGAATGTGGCTAGTGAGAGGTGAGGGGGGTAACGTAATGTCAGCCGGTGGTCGCGCCGGGTCATGCAATGACGTCGATGCGCGGCTCGTGTTCCAGAAATTCAGGTCATTGTCGACGTTGTCTTCGTTGACTGGCTGTCGCACAATATATCCCATGGTTTTAAAAAGCCGCCCGAAACCCCTTTGTCCAAAAATAAGGCGCCTACATCAGAGATCCTTTATAGAATCTGCACAAAAACATACATACATACACACACCTGCTCCTGAGGGCTTGGCGGTTATATAGCCAGCCGACCGTCCCCCTCCTGAAGAGGGTGTCTGATCGAACCGGAACATTCCAACATCCTTTTGCTTTCCCCCCCTTTAATACAGAGCTTTCTTCCCCTTACCCCGAGATCCTTCCATAATCCAATTCTGTCAGCTCCTAAGCTATGTCGGCGCAACTGGCAAATCTAGTGGGCAAGAAGATTCTCGCAGAATCCGCCCGAAATCATTTCGGACAAGAGGTAAAGCCCATTCCATTTTCTGAACCATCCTACTCTAGCGAACTATGGGCTAAGACTGTGTGTGTTGCTGTAGGACCCATATTTCGAAGAGGTTCCTGCATCACGCCTGAATCGCGCGTTCGGGAAGAAGACACAAAAGCGACGCAAAGCAGTACCTCCCGGTCTATCGCAGAACGACAGCAAGGTCTTGACGCAAGTAAAAAGAAGAGCGTATCGCTTGGACTTATGTCTCTTTAGCTTGTGTGGAATCCGATTCGGATGGGGGAGTGTGATAGGTCTATTCCCATTGTAAGTTGCAATCCCTGCACATGGTATGCAATCCAAGACTCATGCAAGGATTCAAAATAGTATTGGCGATGGAGCAGATGCTGCATTGGCTTTAATGGTGGTGCACACCTGTGACAAAATCGACGGGGGCCTCCCATCGCGGCTGCGAATGATGATGCTCATGAATATCGTGATTGATTTCTTCATCGGCCTGGTTCCTTTCATAGGTGATGTTGCCGATGCCGTGTACAAGTGCAACACGCGGAACGCCGTGCTCCTGGAAAAGCATCTGCGGGAAAAGGGGGCCAAGGCGCTTTCCAAACAAGAGCGGAGGCAGAATACAGCGGATATGAGCTTGCCGGACGAGTTCGACCGCTATGACGACGATACCTCGGGTGAGCCATCTAGTCATAAAGGCCAACCACACAGTAGGAACACTGATGGTCCAGCGAAGCCTCAAGCAGCACGGCATCCCAAGAAAAGCCGTTCAAAAGGCAGATGGTTCGGAGGAAGAGCCCAACCGGAGGATGACCTTGAGAGTGGAGTGATCGATAACTCCCGGCCCTCTCGGCGGCCATGATGATGTCACAGATAGAGGAACTGGGAACAGTTAGGTGGATTATGCCTACCCACAAACACGGCATAGGTATACCAGTAATTGAAACTTCATTTAACAGCTCAATTCGGGTTGGGACCGAGCACAGGCATAGCAGAATTGAAGCTGTTCGTTGCCTTGTTCGCCCGTGATATTCTCATTTGTAGTCATGAAGGCCCCGCAGAAATTGCACTGCAGTCCGCCGATAGATGTACCAGACGACTGGAGCTTACTGGCAGTCCTAGTTACGTTCAACATGACGCCGGGGTATTTCTCACCCTGAGTGCTGACATAACGGATCATCAGCTCATCGATCGACAGATTCTTGGTAAGCGTATTCTCTGAGGGAGGCTCGTCATGAACGATGATGCCAGCCAGCTCGGGAAAGAGGGTGGCATAGGTGCGTATCTCTGCCGTGAACACGTCCCGAAGCGGGAAGTTGAATTCTAGGCCAAAAGGCGACATTCCATCGCACACCTGCCACGTCACTGCAGAGCCGCGTCCTTTCGCGACGTTGGCGAGGGTCTTTGCAGCGAGCTTGCTATCCGAGTCACCCCATACTATGCCGCGGCATTCCATTTTCTTTGCGAAAGCAACGACAAGTTTGTTCAACAAAATTTGGTCGACATCGGACTTGGATGTGGCTGTTGTAATCGACCTGCGGAAGCGATTCAAACGCTCCTCATCGGACAGCGAAGTGTCATCTGTGAAGTGCTCCCCGGCATACTGCGACATGATTTGATGGACATCCGGGTCAAGCTCGAAGATACTGTGGAAGGGGAGCCGGGTGAAGGAACAGAGCGGGAAGGTCTGCTGCGCGAGTGCAAAGCCTTCTTCGTGCGGAGGAACGGGGGAGATTGTCGAAGGCTCAACGACGAGGACGAGGATTTCGAAGCCCGCGGGACCATGTTTTTTTGAGCGTAGTGCCTCCAACTGCCGGTGCAGCATGTGCAATAGCACAGTGGAGGAGACGCCGTACGAAAGGGGGAGCAGCAATTTGCAGGGACCGGTCTGTGGCATATTCCTCCGGAGACGATACCGTTCCATGCGCCTGAATGGCTTGAAGTTCAAGAATCGAATATAACATTCTCTGGATGGAGGGGTAACTGAGATCAGTATGGACTAGTAGCGGCAACAGGTGTACTTTGGGGCGAGACGTACTGGCAGACATGACGCTCGCGCAATAGAAAGGCCGGTTCAGCCTCATGACAATTCATGCAGCGATCAGGTAACTCTTTTCCGGGCATATTTGTGGTGTGAGGGGCGGAGGGCAATACGGTGGATTTATACAATAAAATCGTAGTAATAGTAGTTTTGCACGCGGGATGCCGGGTGGGGAGCGATTTTCACCAGGCAGAATTTCTCGGCGGCGGGCAGAACCACTGGTCAGCACGGGCTTAGATAATACCCATGGGCGGGACCCCGTCAACAACACGCGGCTTCCCCGGTTTCAGCAGTTGAAGCCACGCTTCGAGAGATCGTCGCAAACATCACTCGGTCAACCAACGCATCCGAGACTTGCCGACTCCCCTTGAGAAGACCACTTCCTCCGTCAAATCTGTCATCAGATTATACCCTGGAGCTTCTTATGACCCAGGGCTGCAACTAAACCCTGCTCTCGGCGACTCCGGAGCTCCGTCCTATTGCCAGGCACCTATCTACCGCTTAGCTCCTTTTCATGGTCAGAATGAGAGGCTGGCTTCGGACTCTAGGCTTGACTGCCTTGCTGGCAGGAAGCGTGCTGGCAAATGAAGTCGAACTGGTGCGCATTGTCTTTCCTATCAATCTGGGGCTCGATGCTGACACCCATTATTCGCGCAGACACAAGATGAAGCCCATCGACAGCGTTGTTCGGGAATGTATAGTCGCAAAGCTTGGGGTGGAAGTGTCGATCCCTTCATCTTGACCAAATTCGTCCAAGAACCCCAGTCCGGTGATAGCGATCCTCTCGTCAGTCTCGTCATATTCGAATGGACCGATGAGAATCTCATTGGCCGGCCTGTACCAGGCGACTCTGGGGTACGACCACTCTTCCCTTATCCCGGTTATATTTGGATAGTTCAACTTATGTCTGCGGCTTTAGGAAAGGGAAACCATCTGTGATGAGGCCAGTGTGCAGGCGAACCTCTGCTCGGAAGACGAAGTCGGCTCTTTCATTCTTGCCTCGAATGTCACCGAGGCCGCCAAATTTCCCATCGTTACCAAAGCAATCCACCTTAATGATCCCGCGGCCATCAATTATCCTATCAAAAAGACTGGATTCTATTGTGTGAGCACGTACGGATACTCCGGCGTGGACTACAAGGCCGTGATCGAGTTCAGAAACTCGTACGGTGAACTTCCAGCTGCGCAGATCGCAAAGCTACCGTTTTATGGTGGCTTGACTATCGTCTACGCAGTTGTCGGTCTGTAAGTATCCCCTAGTGTCGCTGAGCTCATTCAGGGTGGGGCTTATACTTAATAGGTTTTGGGCATTCCTCTACGTGCAGAACCGTCACGATATCTGTAAGAGCAGGCTTTGGGTATCCAATGACCATCCGCTGATTATCTTTAGTGCCCGTTCAAAACTACATCACCGCGATCCTTGTTTTCCTCATTGTAGAGCAGTTGATGACATGGGGCTTCTACGGTATGTCTAACGCTGTATACCACCGATGTTCTTTGCTAACGCTCATCTAGACTACCAAAACCGCAATGGCTTAAATACCGGCGCAAAGGCATTGATGGTTATAGTTGCTGTACTGAATGCGGGACGTAATGCTTTCTCATTCTTCCTCTTGCTGATAGTGTGCATGGGATACGGCGTTGTCAAGCCGTCGCTCGGTCGGACGATGATCTACGTTCGTATCCTTGCCATCACCCACTTCATCTTCGCTGTGATATATGCTGTCGCCAGTCTATCGATCACCCCGGACAGCGCCGGTCCACTCGTCTTGCTCATCGTGCTTCCTCTTGCTGGTACACTGACGGCCTTCTACGTGTGGACTTTGAACTCTCTGAATGCGACCATGAAGGATCTCATTGACAGAAAGCAGAAGACGAAAGCCATGATGTACAAGAAGCTTTGGTGGTGCATTCTCGGTAGTATCATCGTTATTTTTGGGTTCTTCTTCATCAACTCTATCGCCTTTGCAGGACGCAGCGAGGCCAGCTTCGTACCGGAGCACTGGAAGTCCAGATGGTTTGTGCTGGATGGCTGGCTGAACCTGGTGTACTTCTTTGACATCGGATTCGTTGCCTATCTGTGGCGTCCCACTGCTAACAACAGACGGTTCGCTATGAGTGACGAGGTAAGCCTTGTTTGGAGCAATTGTGCGAGCCTAAAGATATGCTAACAACCTGCCAGATTGCGCAAGATGACGACGGGTTCGAGATTCGTTCCTTCGGTAGCGCATTGGATGAAGAGGACGCTTTTGGTGGACCCGAAGAACCTTCCGGTTCGGAGCAGCGTCGTGACCTGTCACCTGTGCCTCCCAAGCCTGTTCCTGCAGCCCCGCGTCAACGGGAGTCTTTGGACGGTGAGACCATCTTCGCTGTCGGCGAAGACGGGGACAAATGGTCCGACGACGAAGACGAGTCGCCGCGTAACTCCGGCGAACGAGAGCGGCTTACTGGCAAGCACAAGGACTAAATGCGGCTTTCGAAGCCACACTTGTCCTGTAGTGGGTATTGACATCCGAAAATTGCAGGCCCAAAAGTCATTCTCGCAATTTCTGTTTCTCCGCTGTGTTGACTGCCGGAGACGTACGGCTATGTTGCCATATTTCGGGGGGATATTGGAAGAGTTGGTGTTCTTCATGTGTTAGTCGGCTTTGCAGGCATATGATGGCGTTCGGCCTATGGTGTATTCTCCGTTTTCCATTCCTTGTTTCTGTTACTTGCTTCGAATGTAATGGAGGAGCGATATCTTTTGCTTTATTTTGTATAGATTTTCTACCGTATGTAACTCCATTTATGAAGCAATGTTTCCATTTTCGACCACCGATCATGAACCCATGATGCCAGGAACTTACCTTTGCCACTGGCACCGATCATACAGATTAACAATTTCCAGCGACGTTGGAACGCTCCTAGTCATACCCCCAATTCAGTTCAGTTCCATATAATTCATAAATTTTCATACCTGATCGAGGCCGGCTATGTAAGTCGCTAGCTATGCAGGTGCTTCACCGTTCGAGGCAGAAATATGGCCCGGACCGCCTCAGAGTAACAGTGAACCCATGAAGCCATAAAAACGCATGCTGCGACGTAGGAAGGTCGTCGCCGTAGCTAAACACAACCAAATAAACGATGAAAGCAAAGCAAAGCAAAGCGTAGTCATACAAATGAGTACAAGTATGAACGAGTGACGCAGCCGGTCAACCAGCTGCCTGCGGGTCACCATCCTCTCTTCGTTCTTCGTCCATGTTCTTGCTTCCAACATGCGCGCTCCTTCTTATATGCGCATCGTTCCGCATGTGACTCAGTCCGAGGCGTGTGTGAATCCATCTACCCAGCGTCTTCAGCGTCTAACCTCCACGACCCTGAGGCCTACGTGTTCCTGGCTCGGGCCGGGCTCTGGTTCAAGGTCGAGCTCGACCTGCCCACTGCTAGTGACTACCCGCACAGCTCGCCCCCCAACCATATCAGAATCAATTCTCCATCCGCACGCGAGCCACCATGGCGACCAGCCCGGCGCCGAGCATCGTCTCCATTAATTCCTGCTTACATCGCCTGAGCAATACGGCCAGCGCTGTGCCATGACTCACGAAAATTCCGTCGGTTTCCATCTCCCTTAACACGTCAACAACAACACCTCCACCACTCTTCCTTCCGCCCTCACAGCGCATGCCACCCGCATTTCATTCCCGAGCTCAAGCTTAGAAGAATTACGCACGCACGCACGCACGCGACCACCCACAATGGCACACCCCGAAAACCAAACCGACGACCTCACCTCTAAGGAGGTCTCTCCCTTCCAAACCAGTCGAGAGCTATCAGCATCCCTCCTCGCGCGATGCCGATCCCTTCTCTCCGAGATAAGCGACTTCCAGACCCTGCTGGTGGAAACCCAACGCAATCCTCAGATCGTGGAGGTGCGGTCGCTGAAATCAAATGTGCTTTCAGAGCTGCGCACGTTGGAGAAGCTCGACGCGCAGGTCCAGAAGCTGCCGGACCCGACGAAGAGCGATGGGGTTGATGCAGATTCAGGTGACGATGATGAACCAACGGCTAGGAGACTGGTTCATACGTTGAAGTCCTCCAATTTGCCGTTTTATGAGGCCGTTTGGGCCATTGCGAAGAATACTTGCCGCGGGTTGGTGGCTTTTGGGAAGAGGTTCTATTGGGGGGATGATAATGGTGTTTCGGAGGAGAAAAGGTCCGGGAAGGATAAGAAGAAGAGTGTGTTTGTGGATATTATTGCTGATGATGGGGAGGAGTGGGTTAAGGTGTCTACGGTTGCAGAGTCGAGGTTGTTGTTTGAGATGGCGGAGAAGGGGTGGGAGGCTGGTTCTGAGTCTGAGGAGGAGGGGGAGGCTAGGACGGTTCTACGGAATCATGATGGGGATTGTGATGAGGTGGACGATGAGGATGAGGATGAAATTGAGCTGGTGAAGTTGGCTAAAGATTTGAGGAACGCGGCCAATGCTACGAGAGTCAGGTATAAACATCCTCGGCTGCGGTTTGTGGCGCCTAGGATCCACGAGGGAAGCTGTGCGGAGATTGACGATCTTTTGAAGATTATTAGAAGCTATGGGATCAGAGTGGATTGCGGTGAAAAGGCATATGCTGTGGCTGGTACACAGGCACAGGAGGGCTTATCGCATCTCCTTCCTAAGCCGTTCAAACACTTTACTTCCACTATTAATGTGGACTGCACATTGATGCTTGCTGCGGTCTCCGATCTCTCGCATTACAAACATATCACGGAATCTCCGCAGCATCATAAGGCCATCAATCGACAGATCGCTGTTGAGCATGAGCGACCTTTGTTGCCCACTGAGCTGTGGCCCGCAATGGATGCCTATGAACTAGTGTGTGTGGAGGAGGCTGCCACACGGATGAAAGAGATCGTCAATATTATCGGCACTGACACTGAAAGGCTGCGCATGGAAATCCTGCTCGGCGAGCCCCCCTTCGATACCTATAGCCGAGAGGACCTCATCAAGAAATACCAGGAGTTGTCCGATTATGAAATACCGGCGCACTGGAAAATTCCGGTCAAGACGGTCGAAGCGAAGTCGGTGATTGCGTCTGCGAGAGATACTGCAAAGCTGCCGCCTGTCTATCAGAAGGTGGCTGAGAACCTCTCCGATATCAACTATGGTGTGTTTCTGTACGGATGGGCTGCGGGACTGGCGACGATCTCCAGCAATCGGACCGTGGTCAAGGAGATTGAGTCCATTATCGAGAAGCACAGAGATGGGGATGACGGCTTGGAGGGACCTCTTATCTGGGTGTGTGATACTGCCAGGAGCTTGATAGGCAAAGAAAAGGGTCGGAAGAACTAGACCAACAACTAGTTCGGAGACGCTAATGATAGATCGGACGTCAAACAGAATCTTTACCCCGTTCTTGCATTAGAGGTGGATCAGCAGCACATGCGGGGCGTGATGGCTTGCTACTTTTCAGAAGATCTGGAAGGGTCCTCTGGAAGCCAGAAAACTGTCTCTTTGTCGGCAGACGCAATCATGTTGTACCTCGGATTGTATTCAACGATGGCAGTCCGTCCTCGATGTGATAGTCTAGTCATTGGCTGCAATAGACCGTTTGGCTCTGGAGGAGATTGTTGTAGATCCCACACTAGCATGTCGGAATAATCTCCCGAACCACCAACCACGTATCGCCCGTCGGGTGAGAAGCACGCATCTCCCTGACCGAGAGGCTTCCCGGTTGTTGATACCGGTGCAGCCCTTCCGGGTGATCCGGCCTTGCCCACCAAGAACGCCTTAACGGTGCCCTCGAAGGCATCGAGAATGAAATGCCCATGGTAGTCTGTCCCGACAAGCAAGTGCTTGCCATCATTGGAGAATTCCAGGCGAGTCCACCCCCTGCCTCGTGTAGAAGGCGTATACCGTTCCTCGTACGGCGCAAGGTCGAAACTGGAGAACGGAGCTTTGTCGTAGTTGCGGAGGTCGTAAAGAAGGACTGACGCGGTTGACTGGGATGCAATGGCAATGACAGAAGCAGAAGGGTCGAAGGCCACGAGGTATGGAGTCGCAAGTTTCAATTTCCCTTGCGCGTTTCTAGAGCCGAGATCCCAGAGTGCAACGGTATCGTCTTTGGAGCATGAGATGAAGGAGTCACTGCCAGGAGATAGAGCTAAACAGGTGACTTTGTCGGTGTGACCCTGGAAGTAGCGAATGTAGCCTTCATTGTGAAGGTCCAACAAGCGCAATGAATCTAGGCCGGTCAGAACAGAGGGTAAGGATGGCGGCGCGCTGGAGCAGACATACCGTCAACCTTGGTGCTCGCATGGAGGACCTGACGACTGTGGTGGGTGAACCTGGCTAGATGGGCGCCGTACTTCTTGCTGGGAACCGACTTTGTAGACTTGCCCTCCTTGATATCGAAAACCTGGATAGTCTCATCATCACCCGATGCCACCAAGTAATCTCCTTGGTCATCAAAGTCCAGCGACGTCACATAATTAGAGGTATCCTGCTTTGGGCCTCGGAATGCCTATGGTTGGAGAAACAGACGATTAGATGGCTGGCCCGGTCCATAAGGGCCATTGAACTAACCTTGGTAGGACGGAAACTACGAATGATGTCCGAGACCTTCTGGCATTGTAGAATTGGCTGCTGGGGCTGTGGTTGCGCCGTCGGTTGCGGTTGACCTTCAGCCATACTTCTTGACTTGACTAGAACAGATAATGATAAAGTGCGACTGCGGGGAACAGGATGCAAGTTCTCAGGATGTCCACGACCTTAAAGCTTACAAGCCAGACAGATCCGTTTGATTTTACCCGGCTATTTTCTCCGAGATTCCTCGACCTGCAAGGATTTCCACCCAAAGTGACCCGAGTAGAGAAGTAATAAAGGTCGTCACTGGGGGAAGCCAACGCGCCTTGACGATGGATTTTGACGCGTTTGACCGACTTCCGCGGGGGGGATTGTTGTTCCGCTCCGACGCTTACCATCGGCCGTGAAGGAGCCGATTGGCCGAGGTCGGAGGCTCTGGATTGAAAAGTGCGGATCCCGTGGCCAATGACCGTCCAATTATCGGCTGCGGATACCAATCCGAGCGGCGTTGGACTGTCGGAGAAGGCTTGAATGGCGGAGGGAATCTCACGGCATGAACACCTCAGCTCTGACACCGTTTTTGAGTTTCTGACAAGTGCATCGCTCACCCTACTCTTCCACTGCGCCGTCACTGAGTCTGTCATCTTCCCCTCCCGGGGCACTCAGCATCTCTTCACGCAACAGCCAGGTCGTCCTGATTTCACCAGCGCCCTTGTCGGCCTCGCTCTTGCCCTTCCGCGCGCAGACTCGGTTCAACTCCCCTCCGTTAGCGGAGACGAATCTGAACAGATACAATGTCCACAACAACAGGGTACGTGGTGCTGCCTCCAAACCCGTCAGATTACGGTCGCATTAACGCATAAATTCGTTCCCTACAGAGCATTCATCGCAGGAGGTGTTGCAGCATGCGGAGCAGTGACGGTTACTCATAGCTTTGAGACGGTGAAGATTCGGTACAGTCTTCCTCCCTTATTTGGAGTGTCGCGGATTACTCCTCGCCAGCCGTGTCGCCGGATTCTAATTTGTATCTATACGAAAGTCTGCAACTGCAGGGCGAACTGCAGGCCAAGCAGGACGCTGCCAAGAAATACCGGGGTGTCTTGCACGGTGTGAAGGTTATTCTACAGAATGAGGGTCCCCGCGGTCTTTTCCGGGGTATAGGCTCGGCAGTACGTTCGCCTATCAGCGTCCAAGATACTTGTATAGCTAACAGCCACTGCAGTATATCTACCAAGTCCTGCTCAACGGTTGCCGTCTGGGTTTCTACGAACCGCTGCGCCAGGGTCTGGCAACCACAATATACCAGGATGCTCAAGTTCAATCGCTGGGTATTAACGTCCTCGCTGGTGCTGCTTCTGGTATCATTGGAGCTGCCGCGGGTTCGCCCTTTTTCCTCGTCAAGACCCGTCTGCAATCGTTCTCCCCTTTCCTTCCCGTCGGCACCCAGCACAACTACAAGAACTCGTTTGATGGACTGCGGAAGATCCACACGTCGGAGGGAGTTTCTGGCTTATACCGTGGAGTTGGCGCGGCAATGGTACGAACTGGTTTCGGTAGTTCCGTTCAGCTGCCGACCTACTTCTTCGCGAAGCGCCGCTTGATGAAGCACCTGGGCATGGAAGATGGTCCAGGCCTGCACCTGGCCAGTAGCACGGCATCTGGCTTTGTCGTCTGCTGTGTTATGCACCCACCCGGTATGTTGTACACTTATGGCATAACCGAATTCCGCTAACTTGTTGTTCAGACACCATCATGTCTAGAATGTACAACCAAACCGGCAATCTCTACAAGGGCGTGTTCGATTGCTTGTTCAAGACCATCAAGACGGAGGGTGTGTTGGCTATCTACAAGGGGTACTTTGCTCATCTTGCGCGTATTCTGCCTCACACGGTAAGTGGTGTTTTAACATTCTCCCCGCCCATAGGCGATTTACTAACCCGGCTGTAGATCTTGACCTTGAGTTTGGCCGAGCAGACCAACAAAATCATGCGCGGACTGGAGGATCGGTTCCTGTCTGACTCGTTGAAGGAGAACTTGTAGTCACCGTAGTATAATAGCGACATTGGCATACCCCCCTGAAACTTTGCGACACATATAGAGAAGTTTCGGGACATTTTTTTCTGGTTCTGCATTATTGAGCAGCAGCATGGCCAGCATCGCGTGATGTGTATGTACATAGGGCGTTCTGTCTTGGGTCGTCATGCTGTGTTCCTAGATTTGGCATCCCATTTGGATAAAATAGTTTGAATAGATTTCGTGTTGGCCAGAGTCAGCATGTGCCTGGTGTCGGAGTATGATATATGATGCAATCATCAAGCAGCCTTGGGAATACCATGTCGCATCATGGATGGCGGGAGAGAGACGCGGACGCGCGAGAACCTCACCGGACACAGTATGGGGAAATGAACAGTTGATGAGTGTCAAACTAGACGAGCCGCCCAGGGCAGGATGTGGATACAATGGAGCTTATAAAAGTAATTGGGGAAGCTACTACGCGAACTAGCCAGTGGTCCCATGTTAATCGAGCTAAGTATGATGGCGGCAGTGCGGCATTGCTTTTCTTCCGCCGGATGCATGAGCTCGGGATGCAACGCGTCGTGTTTGGTGCCGATGGAACAGTCCATACACGATCCGGTGTAGAGAAAGTAAACAACGAGACTTAGTCAACGATTTCCCTGAAAAGGGACGACAGCAATCCGGCTCTTTATTTTGCAGTCAAAGGAAACGAATTTTCTTGTCTACTGTACGGAGCTTTGTACATAAACCTAACCTAACCAAGGATGATCATGTTGCAGCAGGGCTCCGACGCGTCGCAGCTGTAACGTCATCACCACACTGCAAAGACACAACACCGATCAGGCTGTAAGCCCCCACTCGGGTCAGCTCAGCCAGCAGGATCTAGAATCAAGTGGGAAAGGAGAAGCAAGGATCCTCTATTATTGGGGTCCAAACATCCGTAAATCCGTGGTGGGTGCGGGACAGCTGCCAATGTGCATGAAGGAAGCCGACGCGACGCGTTCAGCACAGACTCTCTTGGCCGTCGGAGCAACCCAACTCGGGGTCGGTGATCCAAAAATTTCTGTTCAGCTCGGATTAAGCCGAGTGGAGATTGCGGATGAGCTCGGCTTATTGATGATGTCGTAAAGAGTACCTAAGCAGCTGCAGGAACTGGTAAGCATGTAAGGTACGGTATGAGTGGGCTAGGAGATGGACACGAAGACAAGTATCAAACAACTGGCATTATTTGGTAGGAAGGACTATCAGTTCTTATAAAATATATACTGGGTAGGGAATAGAGACATAGATTGAACATATTGACAGGATCGATCGAGGGGTTCAGAGATGGGAGTTCGATCAGATAAGATAGTAGCTGGTTACGAGACGCGACTAGTCACTGACTACTAAGGCAGGCATCGACATGCTCCGTACCTGCTCTCCAGGCACCCGCTTCTCTAGGAATGTGGAGAGGACCATTATGGAAACCTGCTGCAAGGTCTTGCAGCTAATGATACGGTAATGATGGATCAGTGGAGATCGCAACACCGGATGAGAACCCAGCCGGTGGTGTGATAGCGCCGTGGGAAGTCATTGTGGATGGAGGCTGAGACGTGATGGACGCGCCGAACATCAACAACCCGCCCGGATCAATAGTTGTTCCCGCCAGCCACCGGGGCAAAAGTCGCGCCAAGTCACGTGCGACGTGACTCGCCCGTCGCGCTAAGGATCACGTCCTCGTCTGCCGGCGAGTATTTCTTGTCGTCTCGCCCTCCCTCGCTGCAGCTCTTTTTCTTCACATCCCACCACCAGCTCAGTCTATAGGAGTGTTTCTGTGTCTGTGTGATCAATTCCTCTTCTACTTTTATCTCTTTCACTCACACACACCCAACACAATGTCTGTACAACTCACTCCCTCCAAGCAGGTATGTGATGTCACGTCTCTCGCCTCCCACTTTCGACGCGTAATTAAAGGCAGATAAGCTAACACGCGTTGCTTCCATAGGCTGCTTCCTCCCTCGAGAACCTCAAGATGAGCGACTCGCCTGTCAAGAAGCTCAATTTCGGTGGCAAGGAGAACGCGCCTGCCGCCGTTGACGTGACTGCCGACAAGCCCGTCGAGAAGCCCGTCGAAGCCCCCAAGGTTGCGCCCGGTATCAAGGAGATGGAGGCCAGCGAGCCTCTGCTTCAGGAAAATCCCCACCGTTTCGTCCTTTTCCCCATCAAGTACCATGAGGTGAGTGACACGTCCGTTACGCGTCACGCGTAAAGTGGAATTTTGCGCTTCCCGCCCCGCAACAATTGGCATGTGCGCTAACGCCGCATTCTCGCACCCTACAGATCTGGCAGATGTACAAGAAGGCCGAGGCCTCTTTCTGGACCGCCGAGGAAATTGATCTGTCCAAGGATTTGCACGACTGGCACAACCGCCTGAACGACGACGAGCGCTACTTCATCTCCCACGTTCTCGCGTTCTTCGCTGCCTCCGATGGCATTGTCAACGAGAACCTTGTCGAGCGCTTCAGCGGCGAGGTCCAGGTTCCCGAGGCTCGTTGCTTCTACGGATTCCAGATCATGATGGAGAACATCCACTCCGAGACCTACTCTCTCCTGATTGATACCTACATCAAGGAGCCCAAGCAGCGCACCTACCTCTTCGACGCTATTGATACTAGTATGTACCTCCAACCGGGGTTGTGATTGGTCAATGGATGCTAACCGCTGCAGTCCCCTGCATTGCCAAGAAGGCCGATTGGGCCATTAAGTGGATCCAGGACAGGGAGTCGACCTTCGCTCAGCGTCTCGTTGCTTTCGCTGCCGTTGAGGGTATCTTCTTCTCCGGTTCCTTCGCTTCCATCTTCTGGCTCAAGAAGCGTGGTCTCATGCCTGGTCTCACCTTCTCCAACGAGCTCATCTCTCGTGACGAGGGTCTGCACACCGACTTCGCTTGCCTGCTGTTCTCCCACCTGAACAACCGCCCCAGCAAACAGGTTGTTGAAGACATCATCGTCGAGGCCGTCGGCATTGAGCAGGAGTTCCTGACTGACGCTCTGCCCGTTGCTCTGCTGGGCATGAACTCCAAGCTGATGTGTCAGTACATCGAGTTTGTCGCGGACCGCCTGCTGGTGGCCCTCGGCAACAAGAAGTACTACAACGCCACCAACCCCTTCGACTTCATGGAGTCGATCTCGCTGGCGGGTAAGACCAACTTCTTCGAGAAGCGGGTAGGTGACTACCAGAAGGCTGGTGTCATGGCCAGCACGAAGAAGGAAGAGGAGGTCAAGACCAACAGCAACGGCCTCAGCTTCGATGAAGACTTCTAAACACCGAAAAAATGATGCCACTATACCCGGTTGTTGGCACCAGCCACGATATGTTTGATTCTGGGTGTTTACGAGGATATTTGATTATACGCATGGGATTGGCGTTCATTGGATGGGATTGATTCTTTTCCTTTTTCTTATAATGTTAATGCTTGACTCTTGTATTTAGAGAAATGTACATTGGATATTTTCTATATTGACTATTTCTGATAATCCGTAGATCACCTAGGATACTTCGTACTTATACCATTCAAATGTCCTAACTTCAAGAAAACATGTGAATGCAAGCGATTAAATAGATACGGATATCTCCCAGCTATGATCATGAACATGAATCCTCACCACCAAACCTTTATATAAAATAAAAATAAATATGCACACCTCAAGAAACAGAAAGTAATGAATAAATAGCCAGCTAGAGAGGAAAAAAGAAATAGATAGATAAATCAATTAATCACCTCTTCCCCTTCCCCCCCTTCTTCTTCCCTTTCCCTCCCTTCCCAGCACCACCAGCATTACTACTATCCCCAGCTACCACCGTCTGCCCCTCTCCATTCCCACCAGCAGCACCAGCAGGAGGAGCAAGAGCATCCCCCATCTCCACATCCGCAGGAGCAGCAGCAGCAGTAGGATTACTCAATCCCAACCCCTCAACATCAGCCCCGGCCGCCAACTTCCCCAACGAGGTGATCAACCGGCCCACCTCGGCGCCCTTGTTCGTGCGGTATTTCAAACAGATGCCTGATCCCGGGTGATAGGTTTTGAGTTCGAGCGTGGCGATGCGGGGCTTGGGTTCGGTGTCTTCTGTTGAGGTGGGTGGTTGTTGTTGCTGTTGTTTTGTGGATGTGGAGGTGGATGTTGTGCGCGGGAATGAGTATTTTGTTGTGATTCTCTGCAGAAACCAGTGTTAGTATCAATTTGGTAGTAGATGTTTTGTTGAGAGACTCGGGGTAAGGGAATCATGTACCGTGTCTGGGTAGGCTTGGAGGAGGAGAGAGGATTGTTCGAGGTAGGATTGGGAGGTTGGGAGGTATGGCATTTTGGCGGGTTTAGATTCCCTCTGAGTGGGGAGGTATAAGATCGAGGATCGGTTTGGTTGAAGAGACGAGGGTGTGAGGGTGGAGGAATGTGTGGTAGGAAGGTGGGTGTGATCTGAAGCTGTAATTATTTCTGGTGTTTTGCGGCGCCCGCTCGGAGGTGGAAGTTCAGAGTTGGTGGTTAGGTGGTGGTTTAGCTAGCGGGCGGTGTGTGTGCCGCAGCCCGTTTGACAGCTTGAACAAACCTATCGGTTTACTTAGTATGCTACAGCTTGACATACTACTCTAATAACTATTAATGGTCCAATTCGATCGTTATTCGTCAGTCGTCCCTCGTATAGTTATGCCTACTGTTATCCTGTAGGCTATTGTACATACATACACAGCTAATTACATGCTCATATACATCAATCATCCCATATCCAAAACTCGTCCTAATCCAACATCATATACACTGTGCATCAGCTGATAGGTCGTGCGCATCGCACACACACTAACCGCTGCTTTCCATTCCTCGCTTTCGTCGCTCGGAAATTCGTCCCTCGGCAATTATCGCACTTCAACACCTCGCCGTCTTCCCCGTCCCCGTTGGACGACGCATAGTCGCTGCTCAGCGCGCTGCCCAGGCTCATTTGGCGCTCCCCCGGCACCGACAGTCGATTCGGAGTGAGGAGTCCGTTGCCCTCGGTTCGCTTGCGGCTCTGCACCGTCATCGCATCGTGCGCGATTTTGTTGTAGAACGCGTAGCTCTGCTCCCCTTGTAGCCAGAGCGGGTTATCCTTGTCTCCGCCCTTGGGGAACCAGGTGGACCCGGCGCCGCGCTGCGGGCTGTCCACTGCAACACCGTTGTGCCCATTGCGAGTGGTGTCTGCGCTGGACCGTCGACTGTCCATGGAGTTTTTATATGCGGAGGGCGTCGGGGAAGTCGTATAGATGGAGCGCGAATCGGGTCGTGCTCCCGTCGAGACTCGTCCTGGGCTGGCGTAGCCCGGCAGAGTGTCACGCAGTGACTTGTGGGGAGACGGGCTGCGGGTGCGCGGCGTACGCATGCCCGAGCGGTTGCCATGTCGAATAACAGAGTTGCGCCATGAAATGATGCGGTCCGACGGCGTCGTCTTCATCGAATCCTTGCCGATGGAGGAGGCAATACTGTGGCGCGCCGAGTTGGTGCGTCGCAGGATGCGTCGCGAGATCGTGGAATGCGTGTCCCAGCTGTCGTAGCGCCGTTTCTGATAGGCGCAGTCTTGTCGCAAGACCTTGATCTTCCCGGCGTAGTCCGCCACGACGAGGATATTTCCATCTGGGTGTGTCGAGCGCGACATGAACGTCGGAGAGTCTTGCGCGAGCTTGCTGGCGGCCGACATGCGGTTCGCTCGTCCGTTCTCCTTGTCGGCCTGACTGACGAGCGTCACGGGAGGCGGATTGCAGATATCATAGATGGGATCCTCGGAGAATCCTAGGACTTGTTTGGCGCGGCTGGGCGCCATGATGGCGGCCGTCACCAGGGCGGATTGCGTATCGAAGACCTCCACAGCCCGTTTGTCGGCGTCTTTCTCCACGGGCCCCACCGGCCAGACATAGGTGCGGCGATCCTCACTGCCGCAGATGATATGTTTCCCGTCATTGCTGAATGAGGCGCGGATCTGGCTGCACGTGTTCTCGTTCCCTCGGTATTTGGCCTCGAGCGTGCGGTCGCGAAAGTTGTAGAGTCGAATGCGGGAGTCGTTGCTGGTGATTAGCAGTTTGACGTCGCCGTGGGGGTCGCCATGTGGCAACGACATGGTGTCAATTCCGGTGATTTTGCTGCCCTTGGCGTTGCGACCGCGAGCCGAGCGCACATGGATCTGTCCAACCGCCTTGAGGCCATCTGTCTCGTAGATATTGCACAGTCCGTTCAGACTGCCCGAGATCGAATGTCGTCCGTCCGGCGTGAATGCCACCGCTGTAATCATGTCGGGGACCGTGGCCACGAAGGCCACGCTCTTGTCCGGAATACTCCAGAGTCGCAGTTTCGTATCCAGCGACCCAGCCAGGAAGAACCGGTCGTCGCGCGGGTGGAACTGGATGGAGGTGACGAAATCGCTGTGTTGGAAGCAGCACAGACACTCGGGTCGGCTGACATGCCACAGCCGGACGGTCTTGTCCATGGAGGAGGAAAGCAGGAAATTGTTCTGTCGCCCGCATTAGTGATGCTACGCATTGCACCGCCTATAGTCAGTTTTCATGGTACCTTGCTCCAGCTGAGATCCAGGATACTGCCGGTGTGGCCCTCGTACACCTGGATCGGTTGGGGTTTGAACACTTGCGCGTTTAGTCGTGGCGCATCGTCGTCGCTCTCCGGCTCACTGGGGCTGCGATCCTCCGGCGATGCCACGACCTGCCAGACGCGCACCTTGCGGTCCTGCCCGGCGGCAGCCATGTATTTGCCATCATTGGAAAACACCAGGGCCCAGATGGCTTTGCCCGTATATCTCTCATTCTGCGGGCCGGCTGTGGAGACTGCGTCATGGTCCGAGACGCTGGCCGAGTCGTCGGCGCCGTCCAGCTCCTGAGCCAGGAAGACCCGGTTAAACGTCTTCTCCTTCTTGTAGTGTGCGCGCACGCGGATGTATTTCGGCGGGGGAGGGAATCGCGGTACGAAGCCTATGGGCTGAGCGGCAGCGTCGGGATCCATGCGGCTGGTTTCGGGTTCAGAGACATCGTCCTCGTCGTCCGGGAACTGGGCCTTCTTCTTGCCAGGGATGATTCGACTCAGGAAGGACACTCCTTTCCTATGAGGCAGGCCCACCGAGTTAGCTATTTAGGTTCCTGGGGCACAAACTGCATGGGACAAGAAGCAACGAGCGACGGGTGACACAATGCGGGGTCACGCCGTCAGCCTCGGGGAGTTGGGGGGAAACATTGGCTGACTCGGAGCCGGGGGAGGCCAGCTGGCGCTTACTTCTTCTCCTTCGAAGGCTTCGTATGCAGCGCAGTCTCTCCGCGAGCAGAGCCATGGTCCAACGAGGCGCGTGGGTCGCTGCCGCCCAGCTCCGCCTCGGTGGAGGCTCTTCCTAACAGCTTCAACGGGATGGTTTTTTGGGTGTTGGTTCTTTTAATGATATGCTATCGCGACGCACAGAGTCAATCAACCCGCTGGTGCGATTCCAGAGACACACAGTGACACGGTATGAGCCTTACTTGAGACAGGGGATCGATGGCGCTCGAGTCGGCGCTGGACTGGGCAAACGTCGGGGAGGAGGCGAGATTCTTGACGGAGCCGTTGCTGGCAGCCGGAAGGGCGCGGGAATCCTTTCTGGCATGCTGCTGGTATCCGTTTGACGTAGCGGTCACATCGGAGGCGGAACCTGCACAGGATAATCCCCCCGGAGCGGAGGAATAGTAAGCCAACGATGCTCACAATTGGGATTTGATCGATCGGGTCCGATCGGAGGGTGTGGAAAGAAGATGACTGGCCAGCGCGACCGGGCGAGACAGCGGGAGGCAGAGGAAGAAGTCATGTAGTAGTACTAGTATGAGCTGAAATTGGGACGTACCGATAGGAAAACTTTGTGAAGAGCGGAGGAAACTGGGATTGGGAGAGCTGGGGCTGTGATCGCCGCGATTGAAGATGGTCGGACTATTGGAGGCGGAGGTGGACAAGTCGTGATGAATGATGCTGGAAGACGAGGCGTTGGTGGTGATGATGGCGGGCACGGTCGAGGCCCGCGATGGCCCTTCTTGCTCGTCGCGCATTCCCTCCGCCATGGCTCGGGTGTCGCCGGGAATGGCGCATGGGAAGTGAGTGGTGGAGGTCAGACCCAGGAGAGACAAAGAAGATGTGGAGGAGAATGGGATCTCTCCAGATAGAAAATACGAGAGAGAAGTAGAAGAGAGGGAAACGGAAAAGGGAAGAAGAGGAAGGAAGCCAGATTGCGGCGGAGGACGCGGAGATTGGGATTAAGGATGGAGATGGAGATTTGAGATGGAGACACACTAACTCGGACACCGGTTATTAATATCCGAAATATCCACCAGGGATGACATCAAGCAGGGTCTGAAGTTAGTTAGTTAACTTCTTGGTAATTAGTTTTAGTTAATTAGTAGTGTCTAGCCTTCTTTCCACCTCGTTTCAAGATGGAGGAGACCAACTGACGAAACCCTGGGTCGGATGGGAGGGCCGGTCTGTGGTTCTTTTCGCGGTCTGTGCGAGTCGAGGAACGGAGAAGAAGAAGAAGAAAAACCGTTGTTTGCATGCATGCATCATCTCCAAAGCTTGACTTTTCTTTCCAATCTGCATCTGGTGGATATGGTATGACATATCTTGTTGTAGTACTCGGGTTTGGGCCATCATGGCTGGATTCCCCCCTTTCCACATGGCTGGCATTGGTGTAACCACTAGTACATTCTTATCATGACTGTTACTTCTTGGTATATGACTATAACTAACTATATATCAATACGAACTCCATCCGACTTGAGTCAGTTGTTGCTGTTGTCTTTCTCCCCCCTCCGGCCAAGCTTAATCGACCGCAGGCCAATGAATGGAAAGCCGTTGGTCGCACTGCTCGGCTGGCCTTCCTGAAGTGACTGTCTTTTAAGGTCTGGTCAGAAAGTATCTCGGATTCCTCCACCAATCGCTTCTTTTTCTTTATCCTCAGGGTCTCCTTTCTTGTCTTACTTTCTTGGGGTTGCAGTCGCATCGCATGCGTCCTTCCCCTCCCCAGAGTTTATTCAACTTATACCCGACCATAACACCCGAGTGGCTATGCATTATTCCCCATGATTCGTGTTGTTCTACTCTTGATCTACTAGTCTCACAACAACCCCCACGTGGTTCATGATACAACATACAAAGTAGAAAAGATGGGATCAGTTGCACCACCATCATCGCCCATCGATGGTGGCCCACTTGCTTTATGCTTCTATCGCCAACTCCGACTTTCCCCGTTCCTGTATCGCTTGCACCTCGATTTCCTCGTCCTCCTCCTTCGCATACGCTACCTGATAAACCGTGTACCACGGTCGTTGGAACAGTCCATCCAGTGCCTCTAGCGATCGGCCCGTTGTGTCCTGTGCGCTGTCAGACCCCCGCCGTTACGTCTCTCCCTTCTTCCATCGTCATATCGGGGAGTTGGTTCACTTACTGGCATCGCAAAGAACACGTACACCAGCGACACAAGGCAGATGCACGCAAAAAATGCAAAGGCTCCCCACTCCTCCATCACTTCTAGCAAGTCGGGGCGTCGCGCGCGTGCACCCAAACGCGAACAGCCAGTGCCCCGCCATCCCCATCGACAAGGCCAGCGATCGGATCCGGATGGGAAAGATCTCCGATCCGATCAGGAAGGGCATCGAGAACCATCCGATCACCCACCCAACCCCATGCACAAAGATGGCGGCGATCGCCGCCTTCGAGGCCTGCGTCGCGCTGGCCGCGTGCAGGAGGGTCGTCGTCGACATCTCTCGGGATATCCCAAGATAACAAGCGAGATATACCAACGTCAGGATCTGGAGGGTGATTCCCGCCATAAGAGACCGCCGTCGGCCTACAAAATCCACCACTACAAGTGAGAAGATCAGCAAGGTGGTGAATTTGACCACGGCATAGACGCCCGTGGTTAGGGACAAGGTATCCCCAGACGTGCCCAGGTATCCCAAGATTGTCGGTAAATATTGCGTGATGGCATTGCCTCCGGACCATTGCGAAAACAGATGTGCCAGCATCACTAGGCAGAACCGACGCCGGTTCTCCACCGGGACAAACGTCTCCTTGAATAGGTCCCATTGTGAGGTGCCCGTGGCCGCTTCCCTCTCCTGCAGGATCTGGAATTCCATGACAGCAATTTCTGCGACTACGGTTGGGTGGCTCGGGGGCAAGTGGCGGAGCTTTGCAAGTACCGCTACTGCCTGAGTTCGCCTGCCCACATACAGCAGCCACCGGGGAGATTCTTCACAGATCAGGAGTCCCAGTCCCCAGACTGCTGCAGGGAGCAGTTGGATCAAGGTGGGGAACATCCACTGCATATCTGTTCCATCGTAGTTTTTGGTAATGCCATAGTTGATAAAGAACCCAAAAACGACCCCTAGTTGCTGGCATGCGGCAAATTGAACTGCGAGGAGCCCGCGGATGGTCTTAGGGGCTACCTGCAACAAAGTCAGTCTGTTCCCAGTCCCCATTCAAGCATCATTTAGGCACCTCGGAAATATACATCGGTGGGGTCACAGTCAAGCCGCCCACCCCGAGACCCGCGATCAGTCTCGATGCGTACAGTCCGGACAGGTTTCCATTACAGAGGCCCTGTCCCAAGACTCCAGAGACATATACTAGGGTCGATAGCCGCATCGTCCACCGCCGCCCAATTCGATCATTGAAAGGTAAACACTACAGTAGCTGTTAACCCGACATATATCTACCTTCTGAGTAGATAGCTTACTAGCAGACAGCCCAAGGTCATTCCAGCCGTGAACATGGACACAATCCAACCTTTGGTATTGGCATATTCGTCGGGGGATTGCTGGCCGAGCCCGAATTTGATCCGAAACCGAGATTGCACGACCAACGATGCGATATTCGCTGCGAAGATCAGCACCCTGCATGACATATGATCTTCACTATCTACCTTCATCGAACCCCCTACTGATGCCGGAGAGCGCAAAAATGGCAATGTTCATCAACAAATACCAGTTAAAGACCCCCCGAGGGGAGTCCCGGATGGCCTGTCGGGTTTCCGCAACGAGCCCCATGGTTGACTTCCTACCATGACGGGCCCCGTCAGTGAGCTTATATACCCAACCGAAGCCACTCAGTCTGGCTGGTTCTGCGACAAAATCGCGCAGGGTCGCGGTGTGGCGGAAAAATATTTCATGACCCCTCCAGCGACGGTTTAAAGTAAGGAGCTCTCCCTCACGGAGGCCATCGTGCGTTGGTATGTGCTATAGCCGAGTTTACCAGGGTCTAGACGGCACTGGGCTAGATTGACAGGTTCTGTCGGCGCACACCATCGGGACTCCGCATTCCATGGGGGTGCTTTGTGTGACTCGGACGTGCACGATAGGGGGTATAATTGTTGATATGGCATAGAGTTACATTGCGGGCTCGAGTCCGAGTTGCATTCTGCGCCAGCGAATCCAGTCCAACTGGAAATCACGGCCTTTTACAGGCTTTTGCCGGTGGTCTTGTTGCGTTGGATGCTGGAAAACCCTGTCCTCCCTGCCGCGGATGCAAGGGTTAGAAGTGCTTGGTGTAGATATGGAGTGCCAACCGGGTTTGCAAGGTTACAAAGCCGGATACCACTATCGACCGGTAGCAGCCGATAGAAGCTTCTATGCCCGGGATGTTTGATGCTTGGTTTTCGCTTACTGTAACAGATGTGTTGCATGGACATCATCTGCCCACTCGATACCTCGGCTAGAATAGGATGTCTAGCAGATATTCCTGTTATGGTGGACTGTCGATAACTCAACTAACTTAAAGCATCCATATCACTTATCATAGATGTGCATAAGCATGTCTGGCACGTTGAAACCCCGAGATCGACCGGTGGTCTATTCTTAGCTGTCGGCGCTTAACCCATGCTTCCCCGTCGTCGATCCCCCATCGTCAATTCCCCGCTACACTCAACCTCTCCCTCTCCCTCCTATTCCCACATTCTACGGAGTACTATCCCTCAATATTCTCAGAATGTCCGCTCCAGACAACCAAGCTAATCCTCCCCCTCCACCCCCACCACCATCAGACCCTCGCACCAAAATATCTCCATTCGTACGGAACCTCCGAACCGCCCCGCCCCGTTCCCTCGCTGTCTCCCAACCACCTCCTCCACCCACCACAGCAGCCCCAACAGGCCCATACTTTCTCTACGGCACGTTAATGGATCCATACATGCTAAGAGATATACTAGCCTTGAACTCAGATCAAGATATCGATCTACGACCTGCATATATAACAGGCTACGCTTGTAAATTGTGGGGACAGTATCCGGCTCTAGTACCGGATGACACTTCTACCTCGGTGGTCAAAGGTGTCGTGTATCATGTGCCTTCTGTGGAGGATGGAGTGAAGTTGGCAAATTATGAGACGGGGTGGTATCGGGCTGAGTCTTGTGAGGTCGTGTATACGGATGGGGAGGAGCCAGGGAGGGAGGGTGGACATTTATTTGTGTTTGTGGGAGATGAGGGGGAGTTGAGTGAGGGTGTGTTTGATCTCAGGGTCTGGCTAGCGAGGATGGGGAGGAAGGCGGGTAAGTGAGGTTGGACAGGCTGGAAATGGAGACAAGTCAGTTATCTGTCCCCGATATGTCAACGAGAGATATCATAGTACCTAAAACAATGTCGGTCGTGGCATCTGATGCCCAGTAGTCAAACCTGCATTTACACGCTTCGTCATCCTGATACGTAAATGCTCCAGCTGAAATCTAGAGAATATTGTCTCTTTTGTGAAAATAAGAAGCTCAATCCAGAGAATCAGTCCGGTGTCCATGTGTCTCAGGGAATATTGTACTTTGACTCTTTCCAATTATCATACATCAGTGCTATATCTAATCATGTTCTAGTGTATTCTCTTCATATATGTACATATCTAACTACAGCAAATCACAACAGCGATTTAGCAGGCGCCGCCGGCGCCAACAAAGGCACCAGATCAGGATCACCCTTCTCCATGGCGCGCTTGTACGCCGGACGCTGTCCAATACGCTCCAGATAGCGCACGATATGAGGATACTCATCCAGACTGTAGGGAACAAACAGCCGCAGGGTCGTCAAATGGAATACCGACACGCAGTCTGCTGCAGTGAACTCCTCACCAGCCAAGTATGTGTTCTTAGCTAGGTGCTGGTCCATCTCCTCACAGGTCGTTTTCACCCGTGACTCGGACATCTTGTAAACAGCGTCCTCTTCGGATGGGGTACCGCGCATCCGACTGAACAGCATGCCCATGAAGGATGGCATTGTCGATCCTTGGGCCCGGTGCAGCCAGAAGACGTAGTCTGCGTACTTGGGGTGGTCGGGGGTCAAGACTAGACGGCCCTTTCCGTATTTAGCCAGGATGTATTCGATAATGGCCATGGTCTCGCCCAAGACGACGCCGTTGTCTTCAATGATGGGGGCAGTGCCGGACCAGTGGAGCTGGCGGTACTCATCTGGGGCCATGAGAGTGGGCGGTTGGCGGTTGTAGCATTTGAGAGTGTAGGGAATCTCGAGCTCCTCGCAGAGCCAGGTGATTCTCTCGGATTGAGAGAGGCGGAGATGATGGACTGTGAGACCGGACATGGTTGGGATTTGGGGGGGGGGGGTTATGCTGCTAGAGTTTTGGACAGGTAGTGTGGCCGGGATGCCGAAGGTTGGGATATCCGGAAATGGGCTCCATGGGTGTATTTATCTACATGTAACTTGGGGGACTCTCGTTGATTCATCGGAAGCCGGGTGTTTCTGCTTAGTGTTAAGCTCCGGTCGGTTTGTCTGTTGCCGAATATCCGGCCGGAAACTTGAAGACAAAGTGGATCCAATCGAATGATCGAGGATTTATGCATAAACCAAGATCCACTTCATTATGCCGTTGCTTGATATACCTATATGGTAAGCCCGGATTATCATTGATTATCGTAGCAACCGTGATAGATAACTGTATATGCCCCATGATCGAGTCGTTTGGAACTCAACGTCTCTATGTTCCACCCGGAATGCTGTGGGTCACTTCTTCGGTCTCCGTGAGGAGTGATTCGGGGCCAGTTAGCCACGGCACAACTTGAGATGGCTCAATCGTTGCACAGCACATATTCACCGTTGCAAGCTGTCTTGCGATCGCACAAATGGCGGCCAGTATGCTCGTAAAATGGTGGGAAGAGTTGGGCGGGCAGCGCAGGTGCCATACTCTGGTGGTTTGTACTTTGGGCGGAATGGTGTTGAAAATCGATTTATTTTTAGAATTCACACTTGACATCTGCTGGTCTGAGCTATTCTGATCAATGGCATAGGATTGTGGGTGACTTGTCAGATGCGATGGGTGCACGAGAAGCAGAGGAAGGATTAAGCATCGGGCTTGACCTCAAAGCCGAGCGGGTGGCGCTTTAGTCATCTCGGGGCTGGGAGCCACTCCGATCAATCAACCCTCTCTTGACAACCAATCGATTACAGATCTGATCTGTCAGTTTAGGGAATGATGATAAGACCGAAGCCCGAGAAGCTGATTAAAATCATTGTAGATGATGCTCATGATTATGCGAAGATGGTTGTAGAAGACGCATTGGTTTACATCATGCCGTGTCCGTCTGCGTCTTTCCCTACCTTATATATACCACCGTGGAAGCTCTACTACCGTCCAGCGGGACATCAGTTCAGCAACAGTTATTTACTACTTACTACTAGTAGATCACTCAGTGATAGTACCACCAAGATCACACGCATCCACTACTCAACACATCCACCACCATGAACGCGGTTCTCATAACAGGCGCGACCGGCAAACAGGGAGGTTCTCTCATTCGAAACCTCGTCTCCCGAAACTCTTCCTTGGAGATCTTAGCCGTCACGCGAGACTCCTCTTCCGCTTCAGCTCAACGGCTGAAACAGTTGTCTTCCAACATCAAACTGGTAGAAGGCAACTTGGACAACCCGGCAGAGATTTTTCGCAATGCGCGCGCCCAGACATCGTCTCCGATTTGGGGTGTCTTTAGTGTCCAGGTGGGGATTCCCAGCTTTTCCAATCACCATCACAATGATCAAATACTGATTGACTCTACTAGGTGGCCATCGGCAGCAATGTCGACGAGGAAGCACAGGGAAAGAAATTGGTCGATGAAGCCCTTAAGCAAAAAGTGAAGTACTTCGTCTACAGCTCTGTGGACCGTGGCGGGGAGCGTTCCTGGGACAACCCGACCGATGTCCCTCACTTTCTGAGGAAGCATCACATTGAGCATCACCTGGTGGATAAGGCTAAAGGAACTGAAATGGACTGGGCGATCCTGCGCCCCGTGGCATTCATGGACAACATGGTCCCTGGCTTCCTGGGCAAGGTCTTTGCGACAGCCTGGAAAATGGCACTTAAGGGCAAATCCCTTCAGGTGGTCGCTGTCAGTGACATCGGTCACTTTGGCGCAGAAGCTTTCCTTAACCCTGATGAGTACAAGGGCCGGGCGATCTCGTTGGCGGGAGATGATTTGACGTTCGATCAATTGGCACAGGTGTTCCAGCAGAGGACGGGTCAGCGGATACCCATGACCTTCCAGTTCGTGTGTTCCTTGCTGTTAACCGCTGTCAAGGATATGGGGTATATGTACAGGTGGTTCCATGATGAAGGATATCAGGTTGATATTGGCGCGCTAAAGAAGAAGCATCCCGGATTGAAGAACTTTGGGGATTGGCTCGAGCAGGAGAGTGATTTTGTCAAGCGGTAGATGATGTTGATGCGTGTTTTGTTTTGCAGGAAGACTTAATGTTTGATGCTGTGTGTATGCTTAACTATGCACGTGTTTTGAGCGACCTAATATAGTCATTGATTCACTATGATCTGGTTCTTATAGGTACGAAAGGGCTCGATTGTGTGTGCGAATGCCACTATCGTGCTTTCCTTTGAGAGGAACAATTCCTGACAGGAAGTAACTCTCAAACCAGACCATATGCATTAGCCACAATAATCTCCTTTAGACTACTCCACCCAGGCTTGCCCATCTCTTTCAGTAGATCTTCCGACCGCTTCGAAGGTCTAACGTCTAACAAGTCCGCGTCCTTATCCCGGGCAGGCAGATCTGTCGGCAACTCGCGGTTAGGAAATATTCCTCGATAGATGGTAGCCAAATCGTTCCAGAAGAACGGCCAGCCATACGCGAACAGGCGTTCATTTTGGACGGTAGGATTGGTCAAAGCCGCGACATGTAGAAGTGCGACATCTTCAATGCCCACACAGTACCCTCCTGCAGGGTGAATTAGCCGGCATCCTCGTAATGGTTGGGGTTACGGATATGGTTCATGCGTACCATCTGGGACAGTGGCGTTCACGTGCTGAGAAACTGAGGCCCATTCATTCTTGATGATAGCTGCTGGCCATAGTAGTGTGGAAGGAAAGCCTTGGTGTTGTGGATCGAGAGAGGCACCGTAGCACAACGAGGGTAGAACTGGACAATATGATTTAGTGTGTTGGAAGAATATCCTGTGCACGGAGAGATGTGCATACCGGTATTTGTCACGAACCCAGGCTTGTGCTCTTTCACCCATTCCCAGACTCCTTGCTCGCCCAAGGCCTTGCTTGCGCTGTATATGTCGAATCCCCGTCTCCATTCCTCAGGAGACCCCGTTTTGGCTCGTTGTATGGCAGTTTCATTCCAAGTTTCTGACGTGATCACGGTCTTGCCATTCAGATCATCGAGGCTCATTGTGTTAGCCGCTTGGCAGGAGGAGGTGTAGACAAAGCGCTTCACGCTGGGCTCAGCGGCCGCGGAGGCAAGAATATTGTAATCCAATTGTTTGATGGAATTGAATACCTCCTCTGGACCATCGTTTGGACCAGCAAAAATGGTTACTACATGTGCTACTCCTGACATGCCTATAAATTGCACGGTTAAGCATTAGCGTTTGACCAGTGAGATATCCGTAGGAGATGATATGGTGTGTACGGACCTTTCATCGCTTCGTCAAAAGCACCCGGACGCTGTATGTCTTGGATTTGGACCAGCTCAAAGCTGTCAGTTCCATACTTGTGACGGAAATGATCTCCGAGCCATTGGTGCCTCTGCGCATTCCGTACGGTTCCCCTCACACGGTACCCGCGACTAAGCAGCCGATCGGCCACATTGGATCCAACCAAGCTATTCGCTCCCGTAACCAGGACCCATGATCCGTGAGGGATAGCTGATGTTTCGGATACAGTCATTGTAGGGATGATCCTTAGGGGTGATTCTTTTGTAATGGTGTAACGATGACCACGTGCATATCAGCGGCGATCGGGGAACATCTGGCTGTTAAAGTAGCTCAGATGCCACATAGTGCGGTGAAAATGGGCTCCACCCAGTGCTTCGAGAGAGAGCTCATTACTGCATGGTGTGGCAGTAGTGCAGCTGCGATAGCTCCACTGGTAGCCATAAACACAGACACTCATCTCATGTCTGCCTGTCTTATGGAGCCCGCTTTACCGTTTTCAGAGGAATTGACGAGACTCCGAGACGGGAAGCATATGATTGTATCCACCCACAAGCCCATCGGAGGAGAGAGACCGGGGAGACTAGCGTTATTGGAGACATTGAATGAACGGTGAGTTTCGGGCGATCATTTGAGTTCGGTGTCCATTCGTATCCACCAGGACACCGCTCCTTCTGGACGTCTAGGTACCACCAGCATGATCTATTCCAAAGTTAGCTTAAGCAGGTTGACTCGGGAGACAGTGGCGTGAGTGGATGTTGCTTTCGGGAAGTGACAATGTGTCTCGGAGATTAGGGTTCATGCCTGCTTGCTTCGATCAATTTCCCAGTAAACCGAGTAAAAAGAGCTCCCTGAAAGTCGTTTCTCGGAGGCATATACAATATGCCCTTTTTTGCTCCACGTAGTCATGGGTTCGGCGAAGATGGCGGCGGGTTATTTCAGTTCATCCAAGGCACGACGGGATAGCGCGCACAGGCCCTATATGAAGATAATTCATGTTTGGTATTCCAACGAGATGTCTGTTGTGCTTATTGCTATTGCTTATATAGATAGTAGTTGCCTGTTGGTGTGACTGCGAGGGGGCAACAGGGATGAGTCAAGCGGACTAAGAACCCGCTAAATACTTAGTGAGTTAGTGACGAGTCGATCGAGTAGCAAAGTGACTCCGATTTGACCCCGACTTCTTCCCCGCAAAGCACCTCCTCGCCCAAATCCACCTCCCCAAAAAGGCTCATCCACCATGTCCGAAACGGTCCCGGAACTACGCTTCCGATCGGGAAATGTCCCAACGCGCTATTTCAAGGCATGTCGCTGGTGCCGCAAGCAAAAAATGCGTTGTGATGCCCGCAATCAGGTCCCTTGCGCCCGGTGTCGCGCCGTTGGCCGCGACTGCATCCTAGACCCGGTTGAGAGTGCAAGGCGACAAAGTACCCGGCGGTCATCCCCGGCTAATCGCCCGGTGAGGTACAAGAGAATATACCTCACTTTGAGCCCCTACAAGATGGAACGAGACTAATATATAGTTTGGAACACAGGCGACAACAAGCAAGGTCGCCTTGGACCGAACCACACGGGTTCGGGAGTCCTTCTCCTCGAGAACAGGATTTTTCTACATCCACCACTGTACAAGATGTCCCAATCACTGCCTCGCTCGATTCACTGCCAGAGTCTACTGCTGCAGCGGATTTGAGTTCACCCGGAACAGCTGAGCGACATGCACCGGAGCACCAGCAGTTGAGTCCGAATGACATGATCGCCCCAGTTTCCGTGATGCACTCCATGTCTGTCAATTTGCTCGGATCAAGCAGTGTGAGTGATTTGATATTAACCATCAACAAAACGTCGTTAATAGCTCGCAGATCTTCATGGACAACTCCAGCAAAGCAGACCCTAAAAGCGATATTATCGCGCGTGGGATCATCAGTGAAGAGCGTGCACGGGTGATGTATGACCGGTAGGGCAATTCCTAGAAATCGGAAATCCACTGGATCATTGCTAACCGACTGTAAGCTTCATGGGTGGCAGTAAGAACTTCCTGGCACTGTTTGATCCCATTCGGGACACCTTCGATTCGGTCCGCTCTCGCTCCCTCTTCTGCTTTTCGGTCATCATCTACCTCGCCAGTCGGGCCGTGATGGACTTGCGGAGTGACACCCATCTTCAGCGTGTTCTTCAAGACGAAGCGCAGAGACTGGCGGAGGATAGTTTCTTCGAACGCCCAACCAAAGTTGAAACTGTACAAGGGATGATCCTGCTGGCTGCCTATTCTGAGAAAACCTGGTTCTCGACCGCACTCATCTTGCGTACCGCCCTCGATTCCGGGCTCGAGAAATCTCTAGATGCCTTACTGTCCCAGGAAGACGTACCGCGCAGTTCTTTATCCGCTTCCATGGAAGACCGTAAGTTAGTGTGGCAGACAAGGACTTGGTTGATCAGCTTCACCCTGGAACTAGACGTGGCATCTGGGACAGGCCGCAAGTCACGGATCGATGCAGTGGACACGATGAAATTGCGCAAGTTCCTCGAGTATCCACTATCCTTACCTTGTGATATGCGCACAATCTCAATCATAGAGATCCACCAGCTCCGAAGTACTACTATCTCCCCGGAAGACCGACTATTTGCTGACCAAAGTCCAGGCCAATCGCGCATGTCCATCGAAAACGCCAAGACGGTTGACGAGATCGTATTGGTTGAGCTGCCTGCGGTCATGACAAGACTGCAGACTTGGTGGAACACATGGGATGAAATCCATGGCAGTAAGTGCTAAGATACAAACGAAGAGCGTCAGTCACTGACCAGTAGCATCAACTTGTAGACAACGCCTTTCATGCTGGTGCATTCCAGCGCTGTAGTTTGAAGTTGATGTTGAACTACGCCCGAATCTTCGTTCTATGTGCCTCCCTAGCTCGCATTCAGAAACTCCCATCCGGTGCTGCCGAGCCCAACCAGGAGTCAACAGGTGACAAGGATGTCTCACATTTGTGGCGCGCTCTCGCTACGACCATCATGGATCAATTGGACTGCTTCATCCAAGAAAGCGCCTACCGCTGCCAGCTCACGTGGGCTCCTACCTACCCAGCCTTGACCCTTGCCTTCGTCAGTAAGTAGCACGAGACCCCGAACGTGGGAGCACGTTCTATGTCGATGGGGCCAGCTAACACGAAAAGCAACTTTCGCTCTCCGGATCGCTCGATGGCGTCCGGACTTGATCGACCAGGACCTCCTGCTTGAAAGGGCCCAACTGATCTGCGATTTTCTCAAGCAGCCGCCCTATCCGGATATCCATCGTACTGTGTCCATCTTTGTCAACTACGGTCGCGCACTAGTCGCTAGCCAACGGGGGCATGGGGAATACTGTGCAGATGTGATAAAGCCCTCGGAGCAGACCAATGGGCAATTCTCATTAGGTAGGGGGGCATACGGAGTCCCGGTGGATGTGTCAACATCTTCAGGGATGCCATCCGAACAGGTGAACTACCCGGCAGACGCAATGACCCCTCAGCCAGAAAAGGAACGTGGTGCCGCTGGGGTACCCAATGCTGAAAGGACCGCGCCTGGCAGACAGCTTCCTGCTAGACTGCCGGGGCCCATGGAAGCTCCTAATTGGTCGATGTGTAACCCCATTGCCGATTCATTCGGCTTGTTCGAAGAGGAGCAGAACGACATCTTTGCTTCTTGCCAATGATGCCGTCAATTCCTCAATAGACCAGTCGTATGGCAGTGACGGGCTACCGATGGGAGAGCTATGTCCTTCATTCATTAGGAACGTGTCAATAGACGTGTAAGCTGGGTACGCCATCGGGAATTCGACACATTCGGTGTCAAACCATAGACTACACGAGGCGAGCAACTAGGTATGCTTGTCGACGCTAAAAGTAGAAAGATAGCTCGAAAATGCGGTAAGGACCTTTCAGGGGGATATGTGCGGTGCTCGCATTGCCGAAGCCAGCCTGCCATCACGCACCCAGCAGGAAAATTGGCGCATAACATGCCGCTTGCTGATCAATCCCCGATGGGAAATGTTGGATCTGATCCACCGAGCTTGGGCAGACTCACCCAGGACAGACTTTTCCTTTCAATGAAAGATGGCGTGGCCTTGAAGCCAGTTTTGAACCCGGCTCCTGATCGGCGCCGTCTCCGGGATGCTCTGTGGCCCCGGTGCCGGACCGGCCCCGATGCTGCAGTTGCAGAAGATGAAGATTCAAGACTGCTCATTGGACCACGAAGATCTACTGGTGGTCCAGATTGTGGTGGACTCTTGTCGCCAAAGACCTTCAGATAACTAACTAGTCGGACATCTTGGATTATTCAGTGACTCATTTCCTATGGTGAGGGCCTTAAAGGCCTTTAAAGCCCACACGTCTCGACAACAATTGAAGAAGACTCCGGAAAGTTCAGTTTGAAAGGGGCTCAGTCTGCTGTGCTACACGACGCGCAAGCCTCAGCCATGGCTACAGAACGCTGTTTCACTGTCCCCATCGGAGAGATCGACCATTCCGGTATGACCTCATCGACGCCTGTCCCTTGCATAGCTAACCCTATCTACCTATCCCCTGATAGACCCAAATTGGAACCGGAGGAAAGATGCCATTCCCTCCACCATCGTGATAGGAAAAATGTGGGCGGACGGTGAAGGATACAGATTCACCCGGTTGACGGAAGATCAAGTCCTTGTGGACTTTGATCATGAGTCTGCGAAAAATCCGGTCAATTGGACTCATGTGAGTGTGATCAAATTAACAGGTTATGAACAGATCAAGCTAACAGCAAGCCATCTGTGACAATTAGAGAAAGAAAATGTACACCGTCCTCACAGCACTCTTTCTGGTGCTCAACTCTGGAATATCGTCCTCTTTACCCAGCAATGTCGTTCCAGCTATGATGCGCGAATTCAATGTCACAGGTGACCCGCAGAAGGTTCTCCCCACCGCTGTCTTTCTTATTGGATATGTCGTGGGTCCCTTGTTCTTCAGTCCATTGAGCGAGACAATAGGGAGAAGGCCCGTTCTACTTTGGAGCTTCACCGTGTTTCTTTTAGCCACGATAGCGTGTACCTTCGCCCCGAATTGGCCAGCGATGTTGGTATTTCGATTCCTATGCGGAGCCATGGGGGCCGCTCCCCAAACCGTGGTAGGTGGAGTCTACGCTGATATGTTTGAGACTCCACGTGCTCGGGGCCGAGTCATGGCATTTTATATGGCGGTAAGCTGTCTCACACAGTGTATTTGAAGGAAAGGCGTCTAATAACCACTTAGGCGGCGAGCTTTGGTCCGATTGTTGGCCCTATTATTTCCGGCTGCAGCGCGCAGTACGGCTGGCGATGGTCATTCCGCATCGATCTTATCCTTGTTGGCTGTAGCTGGCTTAGTTCGCTTTTCCTGCCAGGTGCGTGAGCGACACAGCGTTGTCATCTGCCCTGTTGATGTTCCCAAGGAAGCTAACGTCTAGAGCAGAGACATTTAGTCGGGTTATTGTCAAGAAGCATGTCGCCTTACTAAACAAGCAGTCATCCGCCCATAGCTATGTCTCTCAGCGAGAGTTGCAGAGTGCCGCAGTTCAATGTACCTTGAAAGAGACTCTGACGAGACCCATCACCATGATGTTCACTGAGCCGATTATCCTTTTCACTGGAATATATTTGGCTTTTGCTTATGGGCTTATTTTCTTTTGCTTCCAGGCCTACCCTATAATCTTTGAAGGTACTTACCCTCTCGTACTTCCTCTGTCAAGAGAACGGACCAACGAGCTTTGCGCTTTGCGCTGTACGTGTGAAGGTTTGCTGACTCTGGCGACGCAGGTACCTACGGTTTCAATGTCAAGCAAACATCGCTGTGCTATCTACCCAGTAAGTGCCCATCGAGAAGAAACCGTCATGAATTCCCACTAAGTCCATTAGTTGGAATTGGTGCAGCATCCTCTGGCCTTGTCTCACTGTACTACGACGTCATCTATGAGCGAGCCAAAGCGCAAGGGAAGAAATGGACGACCATTCCGGAGCTACAGCGACTCCCGGTAGCCTGCATTGGCGGACCATGTCTCACCATTAGTCTTTTTTGGCTAGGATGGACCGCCAACCCGCAGATTTACTGGCTGGTGCCGGTGCTCTCGGGTCTGTTCTTTGGCTTCGGATACCAGATTATCTTCATTTCGCTGTTGACCTATGTCACCGATGCGTATAAGATCTATTCTGCCAGTGCTTTAGCAGCTTCTGTGATCACGCGGAGTATTCTGGGTGCCGTCTTCCCCTTGGCAGCTGATCCGATGTATTCAGCGCTTGGCGTCGGATGGGGGACATCGGTCCTGGGCTTTGCAAGCATGGCCTGCATTCCCATTCCACTGGCCTTCCTCTATGCCGGAGAGTGGATCCGCAAGAGAAGCACATTCTGCCAGCAGCTGCTGAAAGATGACAGCGCCACAGAAGATAACCACGTCACACGCCCTGTGACTCCGGAAGCCGTTTGAATTACTCGTGTCACCCAAGCGGGTGTCTGTCTCTTCTCCGCCATCTACCCATTGTGGGATATATACCTACGCATATTCCCGAAAACGCTTGTTGAGATCTCTGATCTTACGCCTACGCTCAAAACAGCCCAGATCTAGTGGCTATATCTTCTCGACATGACTTCCAAGCAGTGTCATCCTCCAATCAAAACATTCGACTTTCATTTTTCACCTTTTTCTTCGAACAAAATCACTAATCTTAAGACTAATATCGACGACAGTCTGTCCTTGCACAAATGTTCCACAGCAACCGTTGGGGTTTGCGCTAAGGATGCATGGAGGTTTCTGGTTATGGATAATGGATTTCGGTAGCATAGAATTAACGGCCTAATGTGACAGATAGACCTAGATGACCTAATGCATATTTACTTAGCCTGACTGCATGTACTGTCTAATACATATGCTTTTCTATTGATGATCGCCAGTCTGTGGTTGTAATAAAATAATTCACATGGCTCGGAGCTCGTCTAACAAGGAGCATTGGGTGTTTCACAGTGTCATGCCAGTGTCACCTGTTTAAATGTCAGCAGATTTCCTGCAACTTTGAGGCCGTGCAAGTGTTGTCTGACCCCAAAATTGCGAATAAACTTGCATCAGAAAGGTGAACTCGTATGGCCTTTCTTCTTTATCTCTTCTTCCCCGCTATAGTGCCCGTACTCTTCTCGTCTCAGATTCCCTATCATCATTTGAGAAACTGCGTCAATCCACGATCTTAGACCTAAGACACTGTCGAGATTGGCCATGAGGCTCGCAGCTTCTCTCGTCATATGTCTGGCTACGTTAGTATGCGCCCGAGAATGGGTGACGACCACGGAAATTGAATCTCAGCGGTTAGACGAAGATGACGAGGCTGCTTCCAGCATGGAAGAGGTTAGTTCTATAAGAGGGGAAGTGATTATCAGAAGCACAGCTCATGACGACTGTCTAGATTGGCGTTGAAACAGGATACAGCATTACTTGTTACGACAGCACTCGGATTCCGGCATGCGATGTGGCCGAGGTGATCACCCTCCTTCCTGCTGGACCACAGACTACTAGTATTCACGATGGAATGATAGTTGTTGATGGAGATGAGCTGCTATATTCGTGAGTGTTGTGCCCGTGTCTAAGCCATTCAGTCTAACTGTTAGAGACTTGTAGTACCCAGATGACGGCACAACCCATTGAGGAGGAGCACAGCTCATCTATACCCGACACAGTGACTGCGGAAACCACAGCTGAAGCATCTGACATCGAGGTCACCATGTCGTGGAGTAGCTCCAGTCTGCCTGCCTCCACACATATGATGAGTCGAACAACATCCGGATCAGTTAGTAGCACCCTAAGTGCTGGGCCTGGTGTGGAAAGTGTTCAGGGCAGTATGAGTCTTATGACTACTCAGAGTCGTGCGTCGAGTACCTCCCTAACCAGCTCGTCGGCACGCAGCACTGGGGCGGCACCAATAGCGACGGGGGAGCTGGCTATGATGGCTGGTGCCGCCGCGATGGTGTTGTTGGTTGCTGTCCTGTGAGGGGTATTTTGTGGGGTTGTGATATTGAGGCATAAGTTGTTATGAGAGCACAAATATGTATCAAGAAAGTGGCGGGCAGTGGGGAAAGCTGCCGGCCAACTAATAACAATACACATGACTGACTTTGGCTCTCCACATCTTCAAACCATAATCGAAATGTCACTGCGTAGACTGACTCTACCATGCAACTTAACGCACAGCTGGTCTTTAACGCCGGTTGCCGATCGGGCAATCGGCAATACCACCCCGCAGCATCACAGCCACCCTCTATAAGTGAAGTCCAACCTACTACTCCCTACTGTCCTCCCCACATGTATATCTCACACTAATAATGACACCTGCACAGCTACACCCAAGCTTCTCAGATCGAACCGATTTCGAGAACGCCTCTCGAGGCTGGATTGGGTCTCTCGAGCCCGGCATCATCCGAGCAGCCGATGGCCAACCCGTCTACAACAACGACGCCTACCACTTCCTGCAGGGATCAGAATGTCCCAAAACAGCAAACCCAAAGCTATGGAGACAGGGCCAATTGGCATCCATGCAGGGACTCTTCCAGGTCGTCCCGGGGATCTACCAGATCCGCGGCCTGGACCTCGCCAACATGACCGTGGTCGAAGGCACCGAGGGACTCATCGTCATTGATCCTCTAACTTCCGTGGAATGCGCTGCTGCTGCCCTGGCACTGTATAGGAAGCACCGTGGCAATAGACCCGTTACGGGGGTAATATACTCTCATTCCCATATAGACCACTTTGGCGGAGCGCAGGGTGTGCTTCCTGCCTCTGACGCAGTCCGAACGAGCCCCATCCCGATTGTCGCGCCAGAGGGGTTCGTAGAAGAAGCCCTGAGTGAGAATATGTACGTTGGTCCGGCTATGCGTCGTCGCGCGCAATACATGTACGGAGCCCAGTTACCCAAGGCTGCGGACGGTCAGATTGGCTGCGGCATCGGCATGACCGTGTCGATGGGAACAAACTCGTTCGTGCCTCCAAACACTATTGTCACCTCGACTGGCGAAGAACGAATCATAGATGGCGTCCGCATACAATTCCAACTCGTGCCCGAGACGGAAGCGCCAGCGGAGATGAACTTTTATTTCCCTGATCACCGCGCGCTGTATATTGCCGAGTGTGCAACGCACAGTCTGCATAACATCATCACGCTGCGCGGGGCTCTGGTGCGCGATGCGAAAGCCTGGGCGCGGTATTTGGATGAGTCGCTGGTCCTATTTGGCCAGGAGTCAGACGTGTTATTTGCGGGTCATAATTGGCCGACATGGGGCTCAACGCAGATCGAGCAGTTGCTGTCCGAGCAGCGAGATCTATATGCCTATCTACATGACCAGACCGTGCGGATGATGAACCAGGGTCTCACAGGCATTGAGATCGCCGAGACCCTGACCCTCCCGCCGGCGCTGCAGACTGCATGGCATGCGCAGGGGTTCTACGGGTCGGTCAGTCACAACGTCAAGGGAATTTACCAGCGGTACATGGGATGGTTCGACGGGAACCCAGCACATCTATGGGAATATCCGCCCGTCGAGAACGCAAAGCGCTACATTGCCTGTATGGGGGGCATTGACGAAGTGGTCCGCAAGGCAGAAGGTTTCGCGCAAGACGGAGATCTCCGTTTCGCCGCGACGCTGCTGGGACATGCAGTTGCATTTGATGCAAAGCATGAGCAGGCCAGACGCACGCTGGCATCGGTGTTCGAGCAGTTAGGGTTCGGAGCGGAGAACGCGACCTGGCGGAATTTCTACCTCTCCGCGGCGCGCGACTTGCGCGGGGAGCACCAGCCGCCAAATACAAATAAACTACCGTCGAGGACCCAGAGTCGCCAATTGAACCCACGCCAGTCGGTGGAGCAGTGGCTAACTCTGCTGGCGGTCCGGCTGAATGGACCAGCCGCGGCGAGCGAGGCATTTGCCCTCGATGTGCATGTGACAGATGAGAAGCAGTGGTGGAGACTGATGGTTAGCAACGGTGTTTTAACTAGCAGGAAAACCTCCGATCGGACGGCTATTCAAGGCAAGACAACTTTTACAATGTCTCTTACGAAGCAGCGACTGTGCGAAATCCTGAGCGGCAATGCAGATCTTGGCGACGTCGAACAGGAGGGCGATGAAGCATGGCTCCACCGATTTCTGTCTTTGACAGCGTGATCCGGCAGTTAAGCTGCCCGGCCTATCAAACAGAAACCCCTTGGATAAATCATCATCCAGGCTCAAAAGGTCTGCTCAAAGGGCTTGCTGTTTGTGGTGGACCAATTGTTTTCGTTTCACCATCCCGTGTCTGAGAAAGCCCTAAGCAAGTCGTCGCAAGCGAAGAGAAAAAAACTGAGCCGCTAAGAGTCGCGAGGCGAAAACGTTGAGAACGTGGAAAGTGTTGAAGTTTAAATTTGTTCCAGAACAGACTAAGCGCCGAACCATCGGCCGAAGAAATGAAACTAGACTTTAGTCGGCGAGGGATCAACTCGTGGAGATTGACGGTGCATCTGCATTTTGCAGATGTCAGGGAGAAAAGTCCTCCGGTGATCTTACGACGGCGTGGATGTTTATCTTGATCGTAGAGGCTGATAATCAATGTTCAATAAACACCTTCCTTGATTTTTCCAGACTTCTCCAGCCAGTGTTCCACCATCAGACACACCTCTGTTTGGCCGTTTTTGTTGGGAATTCCCCCCACTGCGAACGGGCGGATCCGTGGAACTGGCCTCGACTTTGTCCGTTTTCCGCACGCCGCTAGTCCTTCCCCCCTTGTCTAACGCTGATCCTTTGGGTTCAGATTAGCTGGGCTTGTCGCAGAAAATAGTACTTTGTAATACTGGAAAGAGGTTAATGCCAATAGCGTGGCTACCATGGGTCCATTCCTCCAAAATCGAAAGACTTCAGGAACTGCGTTCCCCTGATTGGACAATGGCTGCGTCAGTTAGGAGAGACCCTTTGTCTTTCACAAGGAAAATTTAGATCCCCAATCGTACAAGAGTCGCAGTGTCTGACGCTGCTTCTTTGTTTGTTTTCTCCCTCTCTGCGCGACTTATTCGATCATGGCTGAACTTCGTAAGGTGCCTGCCAGCCAGGCGGCGGTATGTCTATCCCTTTCTTCATCACCTCCCCCCTTTGAAAAGCCCTAATTGGCTAACAGCTCCCTTTTGACTTTGACAGCAGCAGCAGCAGCAGCCCATTCACAATGACGATAATGTCCCCAGCTTGAAGACCCTCAAGGACGCCATTCCCGAGGAATGCTTCGACTCCTCTGTTGTCACCTCCCTCCTCTACCTCGCCCGCGACATCCTCTACTGCGCCATCCTCACCTACGGCGCCTTCCACATCCACCTCCTCCCCTCTCTGCCGCTGCGCGCCCTCGCCTGGGCTGTCTACGGCTTCTTCCAGGGTTGTGTCGGCACCGGAATATGGATTCTGGCTCATGAATGCGGCCATGGTGCCTTCTCCAAGCATCAGACCTTCAACGACATTGTCGGCTGGGCTGCCCACTCCTTCCTGATGGTCCCCTACTTCTCCTGGAAGATCACCCATGCCCGCCACCACCGCTACACCGGCCACATGGAGAAGGACACCGTCTTCGTCCCCTGGACCGACAATGAACTGGCCAAGAAGAAGAACGTCCGCATCGAGCAGCTCAAGCATCTCACCGAGGAAACCCCCATCGTCTCCTTCCTGCAACTCATCGGCCACCAGCTCTTCGGATGGCAGCTGTACCTCTTCCTGAATGTCACCGCCGGTCCCAAGAGTCTGCCCGAGAATCGTCCGATCCGTGGCGCGGCCAGCCACTTCAATCCCTTCGGCGACCTTTTCACCAAGTCGCAGTATTTCAGCATTGCCTTGACTGATTTGGGTCTGCTTATCATGGGTTCGATTCTGTACTACGCCTCTACGCAGATTGGTGCATGGAATGTCGTCCTTCTGTACTTTGTTCCCTACCTCTGGGTGCATCACTGGCTGAGTATGTTTCTTTCCTTTTATTTCTAGAGTTTGTTGAAGAAGAAGGAAGTGCTAACAAATGAAACAGTCGCCATCACCTACTTGCAGCACACCCACCCCGCTGTCCCCCACTACACTGCCGAATCCTGGACCTACACCAAGGGTGCCCTTGCCACCATTGACCGGAGCATCGGCTTCATCGGCCGCCACTTCTTCCACGAAATCATCGACTACCATGTCGTTCACCACCTGTTCAGCCGGATTCCCTTCTACAAGGCCGAGGAGGCTACCCGCGCTATTCAGCCGCTGTTGGGGGTTAACTACCACGAGGAGAAGGAGAGCAGCTTCTTGTACTCGCTCATGACCACCTTCCGGAAGTGCATCTACGTTTCGGATGGCAAGAAGAACGGTGTGTTGCATTTTGTCCTTCCCGAGGAGGCAAAGTAGACGTGCGTAATATATTTGGGTGATTGAATGTTGTGGTGTTCGTGGGTGTGGTTTACTAGTAAATTAGAGTACAATATGCATATATAGACTGTTGATAGACTTTGATAGACGATCACAATGTATTATAGACTCAAAGCTACTAGAACGCGATATGTGTTCATGTTCAAAATTCTACAGAAGAACCAAGACCATTGGTGAAGCAACCAACATCACTGTCGACTACAAAAGAGATCCTTAATCTGGGACATTATACTCTCGCCACTTTTCACTGCAAAGGTTAGCTAGTATCAACTAATACATTAAACGGACTTACCATCGTCTCTTCTGAAAAACTCCTCCAACTTCGCATTCAGATCTTCGCTGAGCCTACCGGTGCATTCGAACACATCTCGTTTCTTATCGTTCTCGAGGATGATTGTATACCAATCAGATCCGTCGTTCCTGTCATTGTTCCACAGAATCTTCAGGCCATGCGCCCGGCATTGGGCCAGGACTGATGCCGAGAGGTGCGGTTGCTCAGGGTGGGGCATGGTCGCTGGGGTTGTCTGGAAGTGTAAGCCGAGGAAGATAATCAATGTATCAATCGAAATGAGGACTCACCTATGCAAAGACGGACAAGGAGTAAGGGTAAAGCAAGGTCACGTTGGTCAGATGTACTGAGAATATCGATACACAAAAAATAGGCAGGACGTGAAGGTCTCCAGAAGACCTCAGGGGGCTTCTAGAAAGCCTAATTTTTTTTTATATATACTAAATTACGTCTACCGATAGCGAGTTGAAGTCGGGATTATCCGTATTTCTGTCACTATGTTTATGTTGGATGAAGTATCACCATGTTTGTTATCTGACATTAGCTGCTACGAATTAAGGTTGTGTTATCAAGTGAGGAGGCAATGGGTGTTCTGTGTTACTCATGTATGGAGATGACCGTACATTGCGGGTTTTCATCTATATATTAACCTCATACTTTCTACTGGTGAGACATACTGCAGCATGTCTGTCTATATAACCACAAAGAGGGACACGTGATCGTATATCATCACCAACTATGAAGACAGTCCCCGGACAATGCCTACAAAGAAATGCAACTCATCGGAAAGCAGAGCAGGATATCAAAGAATCTACTTACCTATGACAGCACGTATCACCATATCTCCAAAACATGCTGGCTTGGAGGCTGCTACTCAACAGCCTGCTGACCAACAACCATAACTCTTGTAGCATATGACATGTCTCACCCCGTAGGCATTTCCCTTTCAGATAACTTGCATGCAACTTCCATCCATCCATTTGAACATATAAGAGAACTCTGTGTAACCCTTGATATCAAGTAGATGCAACATCCCTGCACTCCCTGCACCGCCCTCACCCAATCAACAACCATCATGCCTCGAACACGTTCCCATTCCATGCCCTACTCCACCCCCTATCCTTACATCCCAACTTCCCTATACACCCACCCAACCGTTCCCTTCTGCGTCTCCCCAACCCTCGACTACCCCCAGAGTGATGCCTCCTCTTCTCCCCCACCCAGCCCTCCCCAATCCATCACCCCACGTCCCCTCTCCCCACCCCCAGACCAACCCTCACACCCCCCACCAGCACCACCCATCCCCCACAGCAGCTACCCCAAACTCTACATCCTCGATGGCGACACCGCTGCCGGCCTGGCAATCCGCTACTTCATCCACGAACGCGGCGGTGTCCGCATCCGCGCCGGCTTCATCGACGTCCAACTCAAAGACCAGATCCTGCCCTCCTTCATCTGGGAACAGGACCACGCGGGTGAACTTCCCATGCTCTTCCTCGACAATCCGACCCGTAGACCGGTGCGCAAAGTCGTCGGCTTCGAAGCCATCACCGAGTACATCGATAGCGTGTCGCCGACGGACCGCTATCTGTACGGAGATACGGAGCAGGAGCGGGCGTTGATCCGCTCGTGCATTCATTGTCTGCGGCGGGATGTGGTCGAGCCGCTGTATGAGTGGAATAATCATTACTTGGGGAATCGGACCGGTGAAGAAGTCACTGGGTATGCGCCTGTGCCGGGACGGAGAAGGGCCCTGCAGGAGAGGATTGAGATGACATTGGAGCAGGTGGAGGAGAATCTGGAGGGGCTGGAGTATCTTCTGGGCAAGTTTTGTGCTGCGGATGTGTATCTCTTTGGGATGGTGATTGCGCATGCCGATCGCTGGCCGTGGTTCTTTGATGATGAACGGAGACCGAGAGTCTCGGAGTATTTTGTCAGGATGAGTGAGCGGCCCATGGCGCATTTGGCGGATGAGTTTTGGGATACTACCCGGACGACCGTGGTGGATTAGGATGATGTTTGGGGTTATATATCTGGGACTTCTGTGGTTTGTATATACAGACTGTCTAATATTGTGGGAGTTTGTTTTCTGTCAATATCGTTTGCTTGTTTTGAGTCCGGTTAGTTCATGTTCAAATTGAACGGTCTGCTGTAGTATGTCGTACGTGGGTGGGTCAAGCATTGGTCATTTATTATGACAGCTTCTGGGATATGGATTGGAATGTGTATAGCAGCGTTCATCCTGACGACTTTGCTCTTATCGCACTATAATTTTCTAGATGTAATATAGGAACCCGCTCGGGCCGTGTGGGAAGCACCATCGATAGTATGCTTCGAAGCTACGATCTCATGAGTTGCTTAACTTTCGGCATCCCCTCCGTTAGCGCCATGGCGCCCAACAAGGGGTCTCGGTGATAAACCCATTATCATTGGCCGCTGTGGATTAGCGTCTTAGTGGCGCTGCCCCAGCCCGATATGAATTACAGTATCACAGCATCGGGACTATGGCTAACTCCGTGCTGCAGGCTGTCGGACAGCTATTTAAGGACCTCAGCATGGCATTGCAAATCTCATCTTCCCAGTCTAGAAAGCATCAGAATCGTTGTCAACATGCCATCCTTTTCCGCACAATCCACCAGTGAAGAAGTCTGCCAAGTCCTGGCGGACCACATCAAAGGGAGCAAAGGTACGTCCAACCATCCCTCCTCAGTATTTCCGGATCATAAGAAGAATCTAACCTCTCAGTCCTCATTACTGGCGTCACACTCGGCAGTGTTGGCGGCGAGGCGGCTCTTCAGCTCTCCCGCCACGCGCCGGCTCTCTTGGTCCTGGCTGGTCGCAACCTGGAGACTCTCCAGGCCACCGAAAATGCCATCAAAGCCGAGACACCGGATGCCAACACCCGACTGCTCATTATAGATTTGAGCTCGCAGGAAAGCGTCCGCAGGGCAGCTGCGGAGGTGAATAACTATCCAGAGCGCCTTGACCATCTTATCAACAACGCAGGCATCATGGCGGCACCGTACTCGACCACGCCAGAGGGAGTGGAACTGCAGTTTGGAATAAATCACATTGGCCACTTCCTATTCACGAACCTGCTCTTGGAGAAGATCATGAGCGGGGAGTCCAAGGTTCGGGTCGTGAATGTCAGTAGTGCCGGCCATAAGCGTGGACCTGTGAGGTTTGGGGATGTGAATTTCGAGGTTTGTGCAGTCCCGTGGTTTATTCTTTCGTTCGGTTGCACGCGAGCAAGGGAGATTTAATTGACGCTATGGTAGAATGGGAAATGCTATGACAAGTGGCAGGCATACGGCCAGAGTAAGACGGCTAACATGCTCTTCTCGGTATCACTGGCGGAGAAGGCTGGGAACAAAGGAGTGGAGTCATTCAGTCTTTATCCTGGCCGACGAGAGACTGGCATCGGAAGACATTTGAAGCCAGAAGAATGGGTCAAGGCTGGTATGTAGAACTTCTGATGTGACAGCCAATTGTCCGGTAGTGTGAAGGATGCTAACTCGATGACTCAAGGGTGGAAACATGAGGATGGAAGTATCAATGATGACCCTAAGCTGAACTGGAGAACTGCCAGCCAGGGAGCTGCCACCTTGATTGTAGCAGCATATGATCCTAGCAATTCTGGTAAGCACGCTTCACCAATATGGGCGGGTAGATGGTAACGAATTGCAGACAAAAACGGCTCGTATATGGTCAATAATCAAGTAAACAATGACGAGGCGGTGGAATATGCTCTGGATCCGAAAAATGCAGAAAGGCTGTGGAAGCTAAGCGAGGAGATTGTCGGCCAGAAGTTCGAATACTGAATCTTTCCTACGCCATAATCACCGTATGCTGCCAAATCACATTTGTTGGTTCATGGTATTTGATTGTGAGATGGTTAAATGACAGATCATGGAGTGTGTATGTAATTATCGCCTTTAGCATTGAACGAGCAATAAGCTTGCTGCTACAGTCGACACTGTAGTTTCTGCGCTGCTTGGCCTACCGCCGCTGCCAGTATAATAGTCCCCAGCCCCTTGTCTGCGCATCCCACCTGGCACTGGGATATGCGGCCAACAAAGCGATGGCAGAGACCGGTAGCCTTCGCCAGACGTCGCTCTAACATCGTTGCAGGTACATGCTGAACATCTTGGATTCCTCGCAATACCTTGGCTATCGTAGCATAAACCATAGTCATTCCCAGCCAGTAGAACAATAACAGCGGCACATCATCAGCTTTCGGTATAGACATCTTCTCTTCCGGCTTGCCAGACGGTGTGGCCGTGGGTCCCGCTGTGGGTGGCACGATCATGAACAAAGGATAGCGGCTTTCTGACTGCCATTCGTGATTCCAGTGCAAGAGCTTTCGCTCGAGACTGACAGACACTCGTATCAAGTATGTTGCAGAGTCCCACGTAATCTTGTTGCGACGAAGCTCTTGTTGTGAATAGCTGTGTAGTTGACCTAACTCGTACAGTATATCGAGGAGTATGTCAAACCTATTAGCTGACGGCTGTGCATGTGAGAGCAAGGTGAAAGAAGGCTCATGATTGATATTGGTACATATATGAAGATACTGAAGGCGGTCAATTAGACGTGCCAGGTCATGGATGAAGATAAACCCACCTCAATAGTACGAAGCCGACGCAAATCCTGTGCTGTTAACATCTCCGTAGCGGTGTTGGATTCACTAGCTAACTTGCAGGCTGCCTGAACGTGGACACTCCATGCATGGTCTTGCCCTGATGGTTGTGCGCAGACCTCGTAGAGTGCAAGGATCATGGCAGTGCGGACGAGATCAGAGCAGTAGTCTACTTCTGTTAGTGCACATATTTGCCGCATTGCTTGCACGTAATGTTGTCTGCTGTTATGTGCCAGCGCGTCGTCCTGTTGCAAGGAGGCCATATGTACAAGTGTCAATGCAGCGAGGGCTGTCTTGACGACTGGCGACTCGGACTGAACGAAGGAAGAAAATAGTTCTACCCAGTGGACAGGCGACTGGTGCTTCGTCGAATCTGGAGCCTCCGGGGGTAAGTAGTCGCGCAGAAAGATCGAGACCAATTGTACTTGGTGCTGGTACACCATCAAGGATCGACCGTTCCGTCCAGCGATGGCGGTGTTCATGGGACGTGTGTGACTTCTATTTAGTCAACGAATTACTCCAAACTATACTAGGGCGGTAGCAGCAACTCACAAGTCAGAATAACCCCCACAATTGCGAGCTGAGGATTGGCACCGCATACAAGCAGGCCGGGTCTTGTCGCACTGGCGTGCCCGGAAAGTAAGGCATCAGCACTAGTTGTCTCGGTCGATGGACCACAATTATCTCACCTTGACCTTGCGCAGCAGGCAAGTCCGACAGCTTTGAGCCCTCCAGGTGCTCCGACCCATCTTTAAGATACAATCCTGTCCTCAACTGATTTTGTCGCATGAATGCCGGATGGATGTCAAGAAGAAGGGAAAGCTTGATGGATGGCGAGGCTAACGGCTCAAGCGACCGCCGGCACATGACTACGAGGGTGATTAGCGGACACTAATTCGCTTCAGCTAATCAATAACGATAAAGCCAACTTATGTTGAATCTTGCTTCCTTGGATTTTAGTTTCATGAAAAAGTCTACGTGCTCTCTCCACCCCCAGTTATGCCCTGTCAAGCCTCCGAACGACCCGAAAACACATCCATCAACTGCAAAAGACTATCCCATCGGCCGTCCTTTTGAACCTCAATTGTGCCCTCTGGGGTCATCACCTTGTACTCATCTGCCGACCGTGTGCCATACTCGTAATCAGGCTGGTCATTCACAAAGGCCACTAGATCTCGGATCCAGTCATCCATCAAAATGCGCTCTGCCGGGCTGGGTCCATGCATGATGGAGTAACTGGATGCTGTCAGTACTGTCTCTAGCTAGGGTGACGCAGGTTTGCTTACTTCCATATCGGTCTGTCCATGCTGTGACTGACCCCGAAGGATGCTGGCGCCACCTTTTCAGTGATGAATGACATTCGGTAAGCGATCAGATACCGCCAGACATCCTTGAGCTCCACCCCGTGCTCTAGGAGATTGTTCACCAAAAACCGGTAGGGCGCTCGAACCTGCCCGTCGGCGATAATCTGTCCGAAGACAGATTGCCATTCCTGCTTGTCTGTGGAATCTGGTAGGGCGTAATGCCGTAGTAGACGGTCCGTCGTGGCAGGAGAATAGTAGTTCGATACTTGCAGTTTCATAGACTCCACATTGGCCTCCGGACCATTCGTCACGGCATACAGTGTGTTTTCGTCCCGGACTTCCCCAATGAACAACCGCAGGCCGCGTTTCTTGAACTCGGCGGCGAAAGATCCATTGCGATAGTAGTCAAAGACGCCTGGATGGATGAAGACACCATCGGTGACCGGTCGGAAAGTGTGGTGTTTGAGTTTCATGATCGCATCACATAGGTCCGGTGCACTTATGGCTCGCAGCTTCTCCAACTTCTCTGCCCCTGTCAAGTCTTCTGGAATGTCAAAGTGCTGACACAATTCATCGAACTGTGGCTGGCAATCTTCTACAGTCTTGGGCTGGGATGGAATCGCGTTAGAATGCATGTACAGTCTGCGGAATTTGTTGCGCATGGCGTCCTCCATCTCACCCCGGAAGTCATAGAGAACCTGAGCTTGAACCGCGTAAGCGCCAGCACTGCGACCCGAGATTGTGATGTTCTCTGGGTCGCCCCCAAATGCAGCAATATTCTGGTACACCCATTCCAGGGCGAGTCGCTGGTCCCAAAGGCCATAGTTGCCGACTTCTTGGCCAGCCGACTCCTCCCGCAGCGCCTCGCCCGCCAAGAATCCGAAGACATTCAATCGGTAGCCCACTGCAATGAAGATGGCATTCAACTTTGCAGTGGAAATGAGTTCGGTGGGGTCCATTCCCGGCTCTTGGCTGGGGTCGCCAATCTGGAACCAGCCCCCATGAAACCAGATGACGACAGGCCACTTGGGATTGCATACTTGGGGGTCAGGAACAGGTGTCCAGATATTGAGGCGCAAACAATCCTCATGGTAGGTGTGTTTAGGCCCACCATGGGAGCTGACGGCCTTGGAGTAAATAGGCTGCGGGCAGACCGGCCCAAATTGCGTCGCATCGTAGGTATCCCCGGGCTGGCCTGCGGGGAGCTGTTGCAAAGGGTAGGGTCGAGGTTTACGCCATCTCAAGTCACCGACGGGGGATTGTGCGTATGGAATGCCGGCGAAGCGTCTCGATTGGGTGCCATTCTGCAAACCTTTGACAGAGCCAGTCGTTCCCGGCAACTGAATCTGACACTCGGATGTTTGGTAGGAGATGTGGTTTCCCATGTTGCGATAGATTCACTGATTTAACATTGATAAAATGGCGGGGCTTGGAAGGAAAGGATAACAGCGTGGCTTTTTGAAGCGTTGAAGAGAGGAGGGGTAGTCAAGAGTTTATATCCAGCATAGCCGGTCGCCGATAGATTGTGCTAGTATACTAGTAGATACTACTAAGTAAAGACTATTCCGTTAAGTGCCCTGGTTATCTACCTGCGTGAGGGGTGCGGGCGCCATAAGCCCCAGATACACTCTTATTGGTTGGTGGGCTAACGGTGCCTGTGCCAGATAAGATACTCGGGTTTGGGAAGAGATCGGCATTCTTCCGACACGCGTGAGGGGATTCCGGTCAGGGGGTCGGAGTCCATGAAACTGTTGAAACTGTGATCCTACTGGTTCAGGGCAGAGTGTAGGCATCCGTCATTCTTGTTCATGGTCCGTCGGCCTCTATTTTTAGGCACCGATCGATGCCAAAACCCTAATTAAGGGACAGGGACGCAGCAAGATCAGGTTATATGACCCTCCATCGGGCTGCATCTTGTGGCCGACCAAGACGCCAGGCAAGGCTTCCCCGGCGGAGACTTCTGAACCAAGAAACTGACGCCGTTGTTTCCGTCCTGGAATGTCCAGAAAGAAGGTTTGAGCTGGCGAAAATTTCTGCTGACTTCACGTGACCGTGCCTCAGGTCTCAATCCCCCAAGGGGGCAACTTCAGAACGAATACGATGATCTCAATCCTCCACGCCAACCATGAACGATCAGCTGCCCATGCAGATTCGCTCGCGGAGGTCACACAATAAGTCCCGCGCAGGATGTCAGAATTGTAAGAAACGCCGTGTCAAGGTAGGCCTCCAAGCTGCATCTGCCCGGTGGAAATCGGATGAACGCTTTCAACCCTCTGCAGTACTATATATACTACTTCTCTTCTACTAGTACTATATGGACTATAGAGCATTTTCCACCACAATGTTGTCTATTTTTCGTGCTTTGGCTTGCTTTATCCCCAAATCTGCCACATATGCACCCCTCTCCGGTCATACTGACTCTCCCCAGTGTGATGAGAAAAAGCCACAATGCACCAAATGTGTGCGACATTCGATCGAATGTGATTTTGCTTCCCCGGCCTCGTCGACCTCCCCAGATCCAACCCGCCGATTCCGGTTTCGACCATCCAAATATCAACCCGGTTCACGAACATCACCTCCAAGCAGCTCAGCTGCATCCGCATCTACCGGAGTGCAATGTGATCTCGCCGGCAGTGGCCTTTCCGGCGGCATCTCCTTTGCCGATCTGAAGCTCTACCACCATTTTGTGACCTCGACCTACAAAACCTTGACAGACGAGAAAATGGACCACAAACGCGTCTGGTCACATCATGTTCCGCAATGGGGTATCTCGTTCCCCTCCATCATGCATCTAATCCTGGCGCTGTCGGCGCTGCATCTGGCGCATGGGGATCCCGCCTCGCGCACGCAGTTCATCGCTCAAGCGGACGATCACTTCACCTTTGGCGTCCGATCGGTGTCTGCTGTTCTGTGTCTGCTCAACACGGAAAACTGTCAGCTGATCTACATGTCTGCGGCATTGATTTGCCTGGTGTATTTCGGTCGTGGACCCCGTCATGGCGAGTATCTGGTGTTCAGTGACACCGGCCAGTCCGAGTGGCTCGTTCTGTTGCATGGTGTGCATTCTATCATCTCGCAAAATCATGATCGTGTCTTCACCGGAGTTCTAGAGCCGATACCGGACAATAGTATCGGTGGGGTGAGTGCCGAGTTGCAGGCAGAACTGGACGAGCATCTGCAACAGGTTCGACAAGTCCAGGCTTTTATCCTGTCTCATGTTACCGATGAAATGTCCCGAGCTATGTTTGAAGCTACCTTAAATGACCTGCGCTCGGCGTTAGAGGAAATATATAAGATGCGCAGCGCTGGGAAGGATGGCATCTGTCTGATGCATCTGGTGATAGGGTGGGTGTACCGTCTACGGGAGGAGATGATTTCCCTTTTGGAGCAGAAGGACCGATACGCATTGGTTGTCTTTGGGCATTGGAGTATCTTACTGGTGTATATGCGGTCATCGTGGCTGATGCAGGGATGGGATGCGCATGTGCTACATGGGGTGCGCACGTCCTTGGGAGAGGAAGACCAGCACTGGCTTGCGTGGCCGATCCAGGTGATTGAAGGGGGAGCATCTACACCTACTACTTCTCTACTGTGATAGTTATATAATAACAGACTGTATATTCTTATCTACATATGAACGACCGGAATAACGAATCAAATTAAAGAAAAACATCCTGAACCCTTCCCAAACCATATGCACCAAAATAACCCAATGACGAAACAAAACTAGAACTAATCAGAGTACACAGAAAATCTTAAGCCCCCCTCCCCTCATCCCCAATGTCTGTCATGGGCTGACAATACTCCGCCGCCTCCTTGGTCCTCCTCGCCTTCTTAATCAACGTGCCCGGATGATAAACCGCCAACACGGCCATAGAAGCAAACATCAACGCGGCATCAAACACATAAATATACACCTCCTCGGTATTCAAGGGCGATGTCTCGTTGGCCCCAAACTGCACCGTCCGGACCAAGTTTCTCACCATCAACGTGCCACACGCCACATACAACGCCCACATATACCGCTTCCATCCTTCCGTCAACCACGGATTCTCATTGACCACCCACGTCGGCTCGCGACTCAACCGCAGGTGAAATACGACGGCCACCCACACAAACAATAGGAAGATCACCAGAGAGAAAATCAATCCTGCCAGGACGGCTTTGATACCCGTTTTCATGAGGTGCTCGTCACCGGTGACTTGCACCCCGGCACCGGCGATCTGCGTCAGGAAGCAGATGACGTCGTTGAGGACGAAGATCTTGGTGAGCCATTTGGGTCGGATAACGGAGTGGTGCTCGGCGGCGAAGGCGACGATCATGCGTCCGAGGATCATGTAGATGGTGGCAGCGATGAAGGGCGGCGCGCAGAGGATGAGCATCTCTTGCAAGGCCCAGGGGCCGATGAGGGTCCGGCCTTGGTGAGACCAGGCACGGCCATAGTAGCCAAAGGTTTCACCTGATGGGAGATTCTGTTAGATGGATGGATGAATGAGTGGATGGATGCCATGGTAGGGCTTGGGGCAGTGGACAGGGTAAAGAAGGGCTCGACGCACATATTCCCCCGATCACAAGCGGGATAAAGTATGCGGCGCGGTAAGGAAACATCATGACGAAGTGGACAAGGGTTGCAATGCCGAAAATGGCCATGAAGGCGTACCCGGCTGTCGCAGAGGGTGTGTAAGGATAGAAGTCGACATAAGGGTCGGAGCCATTGACACCGGGGTGGAATTGAAAGTCCATGATGAAAGTTCACGGACTGAAGTGAAATACGATTCTGGCTTCTAAGAACGGTTGGATGTGTGAGAGTCTGAAATTCTCAATCTCTGGATTGATGGTCTTATATGTAAGATGACCCTGGAGGAGATCCATGGTGGTATTACCGAATCGGGTAATTTGTGAGCGAGTACGAGCGGGTGCGCGATGAGCTTGTTCGGCGGGACAACAGTGGAGAGGGCTAATTTTAGCTGTCGGCGCAACAGGGACAGAGGCCATGAAGATAAGCATTTTCCAAGACCCAGACTCGTTCCGTGTATGTTTCATCTGTGCCTATGGTCTTGCATTTCTTGCCCATGGGTTGAACTGTGGCCAATCCCTTCTGCGGGCAGATGCGAGGCGCCACAAGGCAGCGATGATTCCGTAGAAGGGAGACTCTCAGGAACCCAAACTCTGTGCCGTCCTCTAACTAGTCTGTTTTCAGATTTGATGGCACTTAGCTCACGACAGCTAGAGCAGTGCCGATCACCCCTACCAGTTCCAGCACGCCTACGCGTATATACGAGAATATTGCAAGAAAACTAGGAAAGTTCTATTCGAGCGACGGAAATGCCTCCAATGCAAGACTCCGCAAGTCTAATCTATCACGCTAACTCCAGAATTGCATCAATCGTAATGCGTCTATTTGCCAAAGACCTTGAAGCGGTCCTCCAGGGGCGCGAAAGCCTTCTCGCCAGGCTCCGAGGTAGGGACGCCAAAGACCAGCTGAGCGTCGAGCTTCCAAGAGGCCGGCAGGTTCCATTGCTTCTGGATCTGCTCGTCAACGAGCGGGCTGTAGTGCTGCAGGTTGGCACCGAAGCCCTCGGACTCCAGAGCGGTCCAGACTGGGAAGGGAGTCAGCGACTGTTGATGACACATGGTAAAGCCCGTCATGGACCGATGATAATTGTGAAAGAGGGTCGATGACTTACCAAGGTACTGGGACATGGCATTGGACTCCAGGGCAAAGGGGTCAAACTTGTCGGCGTAGATGGCGAACTTCTCCTTGATACCGGCGAGGGAGTCATAATCGACGAAGAAAAGGACCTAATGTTGGGTTAGCTGGATATGTCGGTCAAGCCAGATTATAAGGGCAAACAGACCGTTCCGTAGCCCGCGCGGAAGGCTTCCAGCTTGGGCTTGGTCTGGTTCTCAAAGTTCTCCTTGGGGAGGTGGCCAGCGGCAACCAGACCCTCCATGGCAGCGATGGCGATGTCCCAGACCTTCTGGTGCTCCTCCTTCAGCAGCAGGACGACGCGGGAGGTCTGAGTGTTGAAGGAGCTGGGCACGTGCAGGACGGCATCAGCGACGATGCTCTCGATGGCATCGTCGGAGATGGGGCTCTCGGCCTTGAGGCCGTAGTAGGTGCGGCGGGCCTTGACCAGCTCCAGGAGGGAGGTGGTGGCAGGGTTTTTGAATTGCGGCTGAGTGGAACCCATTGTGGAAGTATTATAGTAGAATCGTTGATTTACCGATGAAGTTGAATTTGATTGATATTGATAGAATGTCAGACTTGATGTCGGGGCGGGACTACGGCTTATATAGATATGCGGTATTTGATTTTACCCCGCCAGTCTGGTGGGGGACATTTTTCCATTCTATTGAACACTTTCACCTTCCTCATTATTTTTCATTATTATCAATCTGCATTACTGTGGCGTGATTACCACGCTCGACCAATCAGGATTTGTAAGCCGGAGGAAGAGACCCTCACTAAACACTCAGGGAATTAATCAGCTCTTAGCAAGACGCGGAATTAGCTGCCTGCCACCGGAACACGGATTTACGCCTGTAGGTAAGCAGGTGCTTTCGTTCATCTTTGCGCACAGATTCTGCTGCAAACTTCCATGCTTCTCTCCCTTAGTTTATCCAGTGAAATATATAGTTACTATGAGGGGATGCATGAATGAGTGACCGGAATTGAAGTCAGGCACGTGAGGACGATTCCTTTGATGCCTGAATGAGGAGTCACGACTCAGAGGTCCACGTGATCGGCACTCTTATTCGGCCCGACGGGCACATGACTTTCAATATGCCTCAGGCAGAAACACAGATGATCCTCGGCCAAGAATTACTAACTCTAGCACTGCTTCGTATGTTTCTATGCAGTTAACCTCGATCTATCCTACTATTATCTAGTCCTTTATCTAGCCTATTATATTCCCTCGCGATTCATTGTACTTTCGCCGCCTCTATGAATAAAGCTTCTCTTTCGTAGCAAGCTAGCTAGCTTCATACCTATTATTCCCGGCACCTCATCACCTCGCATCCGACGTCAACAATTAGTGCTCACCTATTTACCCGGAAGCATGACTGGCGTGGAAATAGATACAATACCCTGACAGAATACGACGATTATAACAAAACATTAATTTATCGAAGCATCAACCTGAAAACATTCTAATCTATATGCCATGCCGAGAGACCAAAAAGAAAGACCCATAATGACACATCCGTTACCTGTTGACACGCCGAACATTCTAGAAAGTAACTAGCTAGAGGCCACCTGAAGCGAGAAAGCGAAGAAAGAGAAGAAGCCCTTAAGAAAGGGAGATGCGATGACCGCAAAAGGGGAAGAGGGTTATCTGGCTGTCCCACGAATCATACCAGGTGCAGCTCGTTTTTTGCGGGGTGTACCAGCTGGGCTATTCTCTCAACAAGACGAGAATCAGGCTGGCGCCCATGTGTGGTCCACACTTCCCATTGGATTTCCAGTTGTGCACCATAGTTAATGACCCGTGAAACTTTTACTGGGTACTCACGGTAAGCCACCTGCCCCCGCCAGAGCGTCTCCAAGCTGTGCTGCATTTGGGTGGGTGCGGTAGCTGGGGTGTAATTCACGAGGACGGCTAAGATAACATGTTAGTCGCCAAGGGAGATCCAGCCCGACGAAGGGAAGGCTAGAAGATACGCGAAAGAGGGATAGAGAGATACTGACGTGGACTTCCATCTGGCGGTCCTAAGCTGAACAGGTTGATGTTACGCCCCATCTCATTGGGCCGGAAGCGTACTACCGCTGGGAACTCTCCTTGCCGCGGAACATCCCTGCACCCCTTATAGGGTCAATGGTGTTAGCCAATCCCTCTCTCACACTCTGCCATGTCTCCTGAGATAGCCGAGATGTCTCACCTGTCTGATGGCAACAAACGTTTGACAGCCGTTTGTAAACCCATTGTGCCCTGGTTCGATGAAGGGAAGGGAAAGCTCATAGCCTTTCAAGCTCTCAACGCGTCGTGGCTGATCGATCGCCTGCAATACCGCCCCGCGCGCGACGGCACTAATACTACCAAAAAAGTCAGGATCTGTATCCCTGCCTGGGACATGGCGAAAGGCATTAAACCAGGGTGATCAGAATTCGGTTTGACTTACGCCTGGGTTATGGGACCCAACAACTCTGGCCGGCTGTCCGCGGGAAGATCGTCGAGGCAGTTTCGCATGTACTCGCGGAAGTACTGGGATTTACTCATTCCTCCTACCACGACGACCTTGGTTACTTTACCTCGGTATCCTCCGATCATCTGCGAGATCAAATCATAAACCTTGGTTACCAGCGGACGAAAGGCGGCGACGAGATCCGCGAAATCAAATCGATGGGGGACAAGAGCCTGCCCCCTCAAGATCTGAACGTCAACGTGGCTCCCGTCCTCGCCAGTAAACTGCTGCTTGGCTTCATTAACAGCACGGCGCGCGATAGCAGCAGGCTGACCACGCCGGAAAACCTGGGTGCTGTGGAACCTATTGCGAAGTTGCTGGACCAGACCTGAATCTACATCCACACCCCCGCAACGGATACATGGGCCGGATTAGCTATCAATCACACCGGCCAGACCAACCGTAAACCAAATGCTGTCAGTACATACTTCTTGGCGCGTGCGGGGCCTTCAAGTCGTGGGGCGGTAATCCGTCCACCTCGATTATGTCTAGATCCTACAACGCTCCATGTTAGCATGACTGGCCCATCCATGACCCTGATTAAGCACTCTTACCGTTGTGGCTCCGCCACAATCACAAACTAGGAGCACATCCCCAGACTGAACCCCAACTAGTCAGTTCGTCTTGCATATCATCCTGAAAAGAGAGCGGGAGATGTTGGAGGGTTGTTGCTCACCTGGATGCCTTGACTGGCCCTGAGACTGAATTCAACCCATCGGGCCGCAGCCCAAGACTCAGAAGTGTATATTACCTGGTGGCCTGGCAACTCGAGGCGGGCATGCGTAACGGCATCTCGGAATACCTGCGATCCAACAGGAGACCAGCAGCCTGGCATGGCCAGGCACCAAGTTACCTGAGGATTCACCGTATGTGTCCGGAGTGTCGCAAGAATTTGCAATCGAAGTGCACCCAAAAAGTCCCCGATGACTGTCTCTACTGATCTTCCACCTGTTGTACCTATTCTCCCAGTCACGATGCCTTCTAGCTTGGATCCGCGTATATCCAAAGCCGGCGATCCGTCAACAAGAAGTTTCGTCCAGGCTAATGCGTCATCGCGATCGACAGCCTGGTGACCCCAAACAAATCCACCGTTGGCATCGTAAGCCATAACAGACGGTATACACCAGTCATCATCGTTTCCAGGCGTCCAAACACGGATGGGGATGTTGGGGCCGGCGTAGGTTATCACTATGGCGAAAATCCTTTCAATGTTAGTGGCTGCCCGGCCCAGATACAATCAACATTTTCACCAAGTCAGATGAAGAAGTGGGGTGGGGGAGGGCTGGGGTTGGAGAAGGGTGGCTTGCCAGTCTTTGTAACACCAACGTCGATGCCTACGGAGTATTTGTCTGGGTTTGGTTCAGTAGACATGGTTGATCATTGAAGATCCAGTATAACGTGGTGAGAAAACGAAAGATGGCGAAGTAAGAAACCATAGACGACGTCTGATACTTGAACTTTACCAAGATGGGCCCTGGGAAAACACACGATTGAACTATAGTACTTATATCTCTACCATGTCTCTCATGGAGCGGGGGAGGTACACTATTATAATCCCAAAGGCGCCAGTTAATTTTGAAAGAGTAGGTAAATCTGTCCTTCCGCGCACTCAGCCAAGTGTCTCGCTTTGCCATTATTGCCTTTGGCCCTTCCTGCGGCCCCTATTCTGAAAAACCTACCAGCTAAGATGTGTTAATGTTGTTGGTCCTCAATGTGGAAGAAGGTTCTGGCGGCTTGAGACCCTTAAGGTTGGTTAACTTGGGGAATACGAGACGGTTTTCTTATGAAAATTACCACACGAACAGCGGCCAGAAGAAAAGAAATAAAGAAATATATATATAAAAAAAAAGAGGAAAACAAAAGAGGAAACAACAGATGGGTGTGCAAAAGTACCCAACCAAAAGAGATAAAAAAAAAGATTTAACAGAAAAGTATACAAAGTACCCAATGATGATTTTATTTTAGCCAAATTGGAATAATGACCGTTCGTGCATGGGGCCGACCTCCTTATTCCACACTTGATCATGTTCCTTTCTTCGCTCTTTGTTCCTTTCCTTTCTTTTCTCTGTATATTATTTTTCCTATCTTTGTCCTGTCTCGCTCTCTTCGGCCTGTTTCTCCTTTACACACCCACACCCACAGACAACCCCCTTCCTTCTCTCTCTCTCTCTCTCTTTTCCTCTGTGAAATCTATCATCATTGCTACCATGGCCACTCCTAGCAGTCAGAAGCAACCTTCTAAGCGTTCTAGCGATGAAGAAAGGGAGGAATTTCCGCTTAAGTGTCAGAGCCCAGTCCCTAACCCAGCCATCTACCCCAATGAGATGTACCTTTGTCGACGAGATGAGTATCACGAAATGATAAATCATCATAAAGCTGTATTTTACAGCCGCACCAGATACAGGGCGGCAGAGGTGACCGTCGGCGATGCTTTTGAGTCGGTATTTGTTCGAGTGAGAACATGGGCAACCATGTGGGGAAAGGGAGAGTCACTCTCGCATCTTTCCGATTCGGATAAACAGGCGATTATCGCCAGCTTGGATGAATACTGTGTCCAGGAAGACTGGGATAGCATTCTTCTCAACCTCCCTCCTGCTGCTCGTGCTAATTTCGGATGATCTTGGTTGAGTACAATGCTAAATCAGTTCATCTGTACCAAGTTCATAGACTCTCCCTTTTGGTTCATGGACGGAAAGATCAATGCCAGCGATTCAGAGACCCAGTCTGACTTCCACAAGAGGTTCCAGTACGTGTACGAGAAGCTCATCCAGGGTCAGTTCATGCGCACCACTCTTTCCTTTGCATTGTATTATCATGTTCTTTTGTTCTGCTCTTGTTTCTTCGTCCCATCCATCCTTGTTTCTTACTTCAACCTTCTCACCGACAGACAACCTGATTTACTGACCCTAACAAAACTACAAAGTTTCCCGCGAGGATGCAGCATGGTGGAAATCCATCATTGTCGGAAAGCTCAACGACGAACCCTGCGTGATGAACAACATCCCGCCCACCCCCGTCGGCCGCACCACGGTCAAACATCGCACGGCGCTCGTGAAGACCTATACCGATGAGTTGATGTGTTCGCGGCTCTTTCAGCTCTTGCTTCGGGATCCAGTGACCAAGTACAAACGGTACCAGCGCAAGAAGGACCTGCGCTTACTCCTTGAATGTGCCGCTCAGACCGTCATCCACGCCGATGGTGGTCTCTACGGCAATACGAACATCGTGCGACTGCCAGATCTGCCGAAATTCAATCACTGGTCGGGCCAGATGATCGTCCATCCCTTCCACGCAGGATTTGAACCCGTCGAAGGAAGTCGGGTCTTGATTGTGACGCGGCCGAGCTACAGCTACATCGACATCCTCTCCCTCAACCACTTCGCTACGGTTCCCCCGTGGAGGGCGAACCGTGCCGAAGTACTGGTGGCTGCCAAGGGGAGAAAAGCACGGGCACTATGGGCAGCAGCTGCCGCTGGTGATGACCGTGAAGACACCGTTGGAAGAGACAAAGAGGAAGGAGACAGCCAGGAAGATGATGACACGGAGGAGATTGCTGAGCCCGTCAGGGATCTCCCACCGCTACGAGACACTTTCTGGCGGCAGTAAACATGCTCTTTAATGTGCGGCACTGGCTGTTGAGAATGGAAGTACCTGAGGGGTGACAGTAACTGTGGGCTTGTTGGCCAATTGAGTATTTTCTGTCGGTCACGTTCAGTTTTTGTATTATCTAACTCCAACCCTGGTCCTTTTACCGCCACATCGTAGCGTTCTGGGTGTCGTCTGATGGTACGAGAGAGATCCCCTGACTTGGACGTGGGCGTTTAGGCTGTGGATAGCCGGCCCTGACACGCTTCCCGCCTACTACTAGTAGGCTACCAATTCTCCTCCCCATCTCTCGGTCAGTGTAGTCACGCTTATGGTCCCATGATTGCACACACACACACACAGACACACACATGAATATAAAGAAGTAAAAGGACTGCTCTTTTTATCTATACGAAGCTAGTATTTGAGTCCTGTGGGGTAAATGAACCCCCCTTGGATGCTACTGAAATACGGATACAGTAATAATGGCTAATGCCTTTGGGGCTTTCTTCTACCAAAGAGCCATACTTGCCCGAGAACCTTTGAATGCGGAAGAGTGGCAGTAGAGAGGATGGCAGGAGCATGTTGGGCAGAACGATGGAGGGCTAAAGAGTGTATGTAACAATCGTCCAAGGCATATTGCTTTCCCTTCTATGGAGTAGAGACAATGGAATTGATACATTCTAGATACACAAACAAGTCTAGTACAAACATAATACCCGAAATATTAACATCCTCATTTGGCTTCATGTCTTGATAACAGCACATAAAAAGGGGCGATTAAAAATGTTATCAGAAGGAAGACAGACTGGGGAGAACAATCTAAGCCATGCGCACAACAGAAAAGAATAGGGAACAGTGAGAACAAGCAAAGGAAAACTACCCACGTCGAAAAGATTCTCGATAGTAGAAAGGAATCTATCTACAGATATCACGTGGCCCAGCAGGGCATCATCTCATCCGCTGGATGGCTGGCCCTTGCTACTTCGTGCAGCACTCCGGTGCGGGGGCCCTCCGCCTCGAATGTCCAGTCCATGGTGAGGTGGACGTCTGCCTCCAGTGACCACGATGCAACTATCTCATAGTAGCGGACAGTTACATTTAGATCCCGGTGCACGGCCTCGTCAACGTAGGGGGTATTATCGTCAATTTCGTGCGGACACAAGGTAACGGTTTCCGCCTCTAAGGGGGGTGTCAGTCCGCAGCCATTGTAAAGCACCGGTATAGGATAGTGTATACTGACTGCCAGCCATATCACGCCGTTTAATCATTATGTTCTCTGAGCGGTGTCGGCTGCGTACACTAAGCCGGAATCGTACTCGCCCTTGTCGGGGCACATTATCCCGTGCCTCAACCTGGAAGAGAGAAGTTCGGAGTGTCAGACTCAGGATGGCAGTCTCTGATAAGGGCAATCAAAGAGGATCCGTACCAAGGTAATAGCAGTCGTAGGACGATATTCGGAGTACAGATCCTCGGTCCCAAGCCGCTCGATGAAGCTGCTGTGAATTTCATACCCCCATCGACTCCTATACTGCATAGGGTTGGGGGCGATCCCTTTGCGGGTCAAGCCGTATGAAACGATGGTCATGCTGTGAGGCATGGTTAGCTCTGTTTGAGAAAGGGGAGCAAGGCAACTCACGGGTCATAGCCCCCAAAGTAGTTCACAGGCAGCAGATGGCTGACCTCGGGAATATTGGCAAAGTCGGCCTGAATCCGTCTCTGAAAGTACTGGGAACGGCTTAAGCCACCCACAATGGCTATCCTGTTGGCGCCGTACGTCTTAACATGATCTAATATCCGGCGCATGACGCTAGTGACAACCGGATCCATGGCCCCTTGAAGCACACTGGCGCTGAATGTGAACCGTCCGCCATCGTGATCGAAAAAGCGGCAGTTGCCGTTGTAATGTTGTTGGAGATAGCGCTGACGAAGGGAGAGGCGGACATCCACGTCGTCACGACCATTGTACCCTTCCTTCGCCGCCCTGGCAGCTTCAACCGCTAGGCGAGCCACATCCCCAGATCTCAGCGGCAGACCCAGCACCTGCCGGATGTGCTGCAAAAGCTCATTCTCGATGTGCGGATTCGTACAATCGGCCGTACTATGTTGGGCGATTTGTTGAAAAGACAATCGTCGGGGATGATTTGGATCGACCCCCGTGACTTTGAAAGTCGTAAAATCCTGCTCTATGTAAGCTTTCTGCGCAGATTTAAACCATTCACCTGGACGTCCAAATCGCCTTACATTAGTGACGCCCCCAAGGTCACACACGAGTAGTTTCTCCCCTACCCGGACGGAGTTGTCGGTGAGTCTGTACGAGACCCCGATGGCAGCGGCCATCGCTTCCGAACAGTAAGTAATGGTACCGCCGTTGTCTAGAAATCCGGCCCTCTCCACTGCAATCATCATCATGCGGACTCCATTTCTGGACCAACAGGCTGGCATTGAGAAGTGCCAGGCAATGGATGATAGGTTCAGAGCCCTCACATCTTCCAGGACGCGGGGATCATTGCAAAAAGCCGACCGGATCCTTTCTAGATAGTCGGTTATGACGCGCGTAATTCGTGTGCGATCTTGGTAATAGTTGAAGCCTTTATCTCCGAGGAGAGCCCTGAGATCCAGTCCATTAACTGATACAGGCGGAGAGCCATCGACCAGTAATTTGGACCAGGAAACTCGATCGCGATGTTCTCTGGCGGCGTTGCCCCAAAGGGGCGGCCTATTGTCGGGGTAGGCCATGACGGACGGAGTGATGGGAATGCGGTTGACAGGCTGCCACTCCACAACCTCCCCTCGGCTTTGCGCCCAGTACGTCAGAGCTAGAATGCATGTTTCAATTAGCGCCCGAGTTTGGAAGAGGGAAGAAGTGAAAGGGAAACAAAGGCGAGTCCAACGAAGAAGGATCGTCACTTGCCCGTTTTGCTGGTACCATGGTCCAATCCAACAACGAGACGGTTCGGGTTATCCATGGTGAGGGTGAAGTGGAGGTTGTCCCAATGGAAAAACACAATACGTGATTCGGTAAAAGAGCACAGGAACAAATACGGGTGTGGGTAAGTAATACTTGCCCTGAGGGTATATAGCGGATTGGAACGAACCATGAGTTGAGAAGGGAATCATCACGCTGCTAGGCTCGCCCAATTTATAAGCTTCAGGTCTCCCGGTCTCCTGGCACTTACCAACATGGCGTTCTGCAACAGAATGAAGCAGAGACTCATCCAGCTCATTAGCCATGTCTCTCTCGCTGTCCCTCTGTCTTGCTCTCCTCTCTACTTTCCTGATCCCGTCGTCTTGATATTTCGGGCTCTGTTTCCGCCATCTTGAGTCTATGGTGAGTGTATAGACTTTCCCGGCTACGCCCCGAATGGATCCCGGACAAAGAAGGTTTCCCCACTGAAACCCTTCAATGAAAGTTCAATAAGGGAACCGGAGGCGCAGTCTAGAATGGGAACGAAACTGTATCCAGAAAGGCAAACAAGTCAACTGGTAATACTGGTAATATACTGTCCTTATGATCCTCCCCTAGCAATGAAAGGAAACCCAAAAAAAGAATAGTATATTAGTATCAAAACAACAGAAAGGATCCAGAAGGAAAGGTAGGAAATACCAAACGTACGCTTGAAAAGGCAATAAGAAATGGGGAGCAAAAGTACTCTTCCAGAAGCTGGAAAGGACATCAACAATATCAAGGAGTCCTGATTCTTTAAACATATTTTCTTCTCTTTAAACCCCAGCCCACCACCCTACTTAGGTTCACTTCTTCCTTCTACCGCCCTTCCCATCACTTGAGCTTATCTACATGTCCATCCTTCCTCCCAGTCATTTTTCTTATCTTGTGTCTCTCCGGGCCTGAAGTCTATCTGCACCCAGTCTCACTCATTGCTGCATCTCTTCTCAAACCCACTTCGGTGTTCGGTTTTCCGTGTTTTCAGTTTTCTATCATAATCCTATCTATTAGCTTGCTGGTTTTCTGTTTCCCCTGCGCCACAGCCATGGTCACCACTCGTAATTCTAAGGTACTCAAACGTGCTAGGAGCGACGACGAGTCCTCCAACGCAGACGAGGGGGCTTCCAGCAACTCAGGCGAGGAGGTTCCCAATAACCCAGCCTCGACCCACATCTACGGCCTTGCCTCCTATTTCTGCACACGGGAAGAATTTCATGACATCTTGAACCAGATGTACGACATGCAAGATCAACCTTCATACAGGCGAGGTTATCCCAATGTCATGCATGATATGTTCAACAAACTGCACATCGCTATGATGAGCTGGACTTGGCAATGGAGCCAAGAAAAAGGGGCCGAGCATCTCTCGAATGATGAAAAACAGGAGATCATTGCCAGCCTCCAGGGCCAGTGCGTCCAGGACGACTGGGACAGTATCCGAGCTCTATCTCCGCCGGCGGTTCGTTGTGACATGTGTGGCGTTCTACTCCAAGCAATGTTTTATCAATTCATCTTTGCAATCTTTATCGAATCTCCCTTCTGGTTCATGGATGGGAGGATCGATTCTGCCGACGTAGAAGGTGATCCTCAGTTCCTTCGACGGTTTCAGCATCTGTATGAAAGACTACGTGCAGCAACTGGCTTTGGTGCAGCATGCTTGAAATCATTGATCATATCGGAGTCCAATGCGAACGGCCCCTTCATTGGCGTGCCTCATGACACGGAACTCGCCCGGAGCAATTTTGCCCGCCGCAAGACATTGATAACTGCGTTCAGAGATGAACTTCTCGGGCGCAGGGTCTTCCAACTTCTTCTCCGCCCCTTAGACGATGAGGCTGTGGTAGCACGCCGCAACGACGCGCTCCAGGATCTCCTTGAACAAGCAGTTCAGACAATCCTCTACACTGAGGGTGGGATCTACGGCAACTCCGTGATAACTCGCCTACCCGAGCTGCCCGTCTTTGACTACGAGGATGACCGCATGACCTCGCACTATTATCACTTCGTCGGTGGTCCCCGCACCCGGGGCCTCGCACCTGCCCCGGGGGGTCGCAGCCTCATTGTTACTCGCCCGGGACTCGCCTATGCCGATATGCAATCGTTTGGTCATTTTGCGAAGCGCCCGCCTTATCAAATGTTCCCGGCGGAAGTGGTGGCTGAGATACTGCCGGAGAAGACCAGTACCATAACCAAGGCGAAGTCCAGAAAGACGACATCCGCAAAGACGAAGTCCAGAAATAAAAGGGCCAAGACGGACTCCAAACCCAATACCACGTCTACGGTCTCCGAGACCCCGTCTGTGTCTCCGGTAGCCAACGCACCCGATGCTGAGAACGACTCCAAGGAGGGAATGGAGGAGAGGGCGAAAACTCCCCCTCTGGAGCTTCGGATGCCGCGGCTGAGGAAGACATTCTGGCGGAAGTGAACGATATACAGTGGCTGGTTGTTCTTCCACCCATCCTATCTGTCCGTTTCCTAGTAGAAGCCTTCTCTCGATGTGTTTTACTTTTTTTTTTCCCGGGTATTGTGTACAGATCTAGTTTAATATTGCTATTGTATCGCTCCAGTTATATTGTTACTTGATGCTTTTATTTTATTCATTACTGAGAGCCGCCCAGTTCATGCTTAGGGGCCGTGTGTGTGTGTAATACAAGTATTGCTCTACTATTTGCTGATTTGTAGTAATTTTGATCGCTTAACTAGTAGGATGGTAGACGATATCAAATGGCCATCTCACTCCCAATCCTTCGCTGGCATGGGCTCTGTTCCTTGATCGGGATATTGACGGCTGAAATCATAGTCAGTACACAAGTCCCAGGCCTGCTTCAGACAGTATCGATACCGTCAAGTCAGACTGTATCCGTGATTAATTTCGAGATCTAACAGGTCATATCGGTCATATCAACTCAATTCTGTGCAAGTTGAAACTCTCCGTATTCCACTGCCCTCCGTGCAGACCAGCAACCTTAACCTACTCTGATGCATCTTCAATGGTAGGACAGACACATTCCCGTCCTTTTCCACTATTTTTTTGTCTTTGTCGTTTTTCTTTTTCTCTCTTGCCTGGACCTCTCTGGCCAGCCCACGGTCGGGTTTCAAGTCCCACGGCCCGTGTTTGGATCAAGGTTCATTGGCTTCTGTGTCAGCCACTTGTAATAATCCAGTTGTGAATTAGCCATCGGCAACACTGCTTCCGGTCCGGCATGCTTGATTGATGAGGGAAAACACATCTAGAACCGGCCAGCCGCCCCATCAGTATCGGAGAGTTTGGATCTCCGCTCATTGATTCCTCCGAAGATAGTGGGGGGTGGCATGCTTTTCCTCGCAAAGTTACCATCACCTGAATCAGGGGGCGGTGTTGTGGTCGTCAGGTCTGCTACGTGTCCGTACACTACACCATCAGGCACACCACGGGGTCCGGCCTATGATGATCTAGACGACGCGGTCGGGAGGTTTCATCCGGAGGACAACAAGCTGGCTGAGAGGTACGCACTGCAGCCACAGGCCAATAAGTGTGATGCGGGACGCCACCCTCGTAACTGGTATCGCGGGTCTCACCGAACGGCAAGAGAGTGAGGGGCCAGGTAGTACCACTGGTATGAAGAACCAGCTGTGTGACCCCGGGGAAGCTGTTTCCCGTGCCGACAAGGTTTGGCTGATACTGCGGCGTTTGTGCTATTGCCCGTGGACATTCGTGGGTGGCTTGACTTGCTCGTGAGTGACGATGGACCGATCAGCCGTCTCGTCTGAGGCGAAACCGGATAGGGGCAACGGTCAGCAGCACTGAGGCCAAGGAGGCTGTTCCTCTCGTTTCTCGTATATGTCTCTGACTAGAATTAGGCCGCAGACAAATGAGGGTGGATGAAGGATGGATGTTCTGGGAGAGAGGTGAAAAGTCTGTGACAGCGCCATCATACTGCATCGCTCTGGCTTGCTGCTGATGCAAGCGAGATTCACTTTCAACCTAGTACGAGCTCAATAGCTCCATCTCCGACAGTTGTTTCCTTTGTCAGAACGGGGGATCATACCGGTCTCCTCATGACGACGTGTCCTAGTTTGATGAGAGTTTCTCGGTGTGCCTTCCCGGCTGTTCCCATTGACACCGAGGCAGCATCTATCGATCATGTTGAGAGATCCAGCAATCCCAGCTTCGCCATGAGAGACATTCAGAGAGGGGAAAGAGAGACCAGCGCTAGTCCTTCGGGGATGAGGTAGCGAAGTGTGATGGGGGAGGAGGAGAGGCGACCGAAGGGGAACCGACATCATCGAAGTTGATCACCGTATCCTCCACACGAAGTGAGGCTTCCTCCCTCCCTACCCCCACCCCCCGGCTGCTACCTCACGGCTGAAAACTATTAGATGGACGTGTTTTACCATTTTTGCCGTGTTCATGTCGTGTGTGTGTTTCGGGGGATGAATGTCCAGTCAATCGACGGAGATCCTCCAGTCAGTCGGTGGCAGATATTGGGGTAGATCACGACCGTCAGCAGAATTCGAATGGCTCTCTGAACTGGGCGACCTGCTCCGGAAGGTCACCGAGGGGCCCCTTCGCAACCTGGCTAGTGGCAACTAGTCCATCCAGTAAGTAGGTGCAAACCGGCCGACGCAAGGACGGGGACGGCGGTTTCACATCGGTTCATCGCGGCTGATCACTCGCAGGTTTCCCCCCTCGACCCCCTCCCATCTCTCCGCGAGTTACTCCCCCCGGCTCAGCGACGATGATCACTGATGGAAGAACCATTCGTCCGCCAAAATCGACAAAGCGCGAAAAAACCATCCTCAACGGGATAAAGAGAGACGAGCCCAACGTGGGGCACGCGGCCTCCGTCTGTGCCTCTGGCTCACGGCAATGCAAGTGTCACCTCGGGAGAATGGCGGCCCTACGCGACCGGGAGGCGACATTCATGTGCAGGACATGCGACACGGACAAGATGGCCAATCCTTGTGGCCGCCTGTTGCATCAGCGGGCCGGACAGATGAGCGAGCGAGCGAGCGAGGCTTCGGCCTGGGGAAGAGTTCACAGGGGCGCGGGGGACAGAGTGGGCCTGGATGAACCCCCGGGTGCGTCGGGGGAGGTAGCTCTACACTGATCGGAGAGGAGAGAGAAACAGCTTTTGCCACTGAAGTCATCATCGATGTGTCGTGGCATAGCCTCACCGTGAATAGGATTATGTAGCCGGTCGTTGCCTAACTATGTATGTAGACTTTGTACCCCAGGCTTGGCCCCCCGGGAGGAGGGGAAGGTCGGCAGAGCTACCTCGCGAGGATGTGGGAATTTCTATTAGATCATCCATGGTGGGTAAGCGGATTTGATAGGAAGATAGATACAGCGATTATCCTCGACATTTAGTAGAAGGGAACCATATCTGGAGAGATACAGAGATACAGTAGTATCTATCAAGATACATACAGACATACATACTCCGGTTAGGGGAAGAGAAGGATCCACCGGCAGTGGTACCGGAGCCGGGCCGGGTTCCTTTCCGGTGGTTGGTTCGGGTTTGGCCATGAGAAACACATCGGGATTAGTATGGGGAAGAAAGAATGGGGGAGACTGAAAGGCGAACAAGACATTCTGATCCAGTAGTTAGTTAGTATCATGGAATATGGGAAATGGGGAAGCGAACACGAGCTAACTAGCGAGCCATTCCCCAGACTCTCGGGCTGGCTGATTCGTCTTGATCGATCGATCGCGCTCTCTCTCTCCTTCCCTCTCTCTCTCTCTCTTTTTGCTCACTGCTTGGGTCGGCTCTTCACCTCAACGTTCCGGGGATACCCAGAGCCAAGCCCTAACACATTTGTTCTAGAAGGCGGGAAGCAAGGAGCTGGAAATTGAGAGGTAGGCCGGATGGAGTAGTCGACCGGCTATCTATCCAGTTACTACTCAGACTACTACTCGTGGGTAGCAAAAGAAGGGTCCGGCTAACCGGCCAGGAACCGGATCAACGACCAAACCTTCTACATACTCACTCACCTTTTTTGCTTATCAAAATAAATCAAAGGGCATTATCACCGTCTGTGTAAAAACCAGTGATAATAATTATGAGAATGATGATCACCATACTTGGCCATATCGCCATCATTTCCCCAGAATTGCCAGCCCTGGCCCTAACCCTACTGCCTAGCATTGTTCCACGTGGAGGAAAGAGAAAAAGTTCGCGAAACGGCAATGCAACATTTTAACACTAAACACTATTCTTATTTCGTCCTGTTGGTTGTGTAGTGGTTATGGTTGGGATCAGTACTCCGGAGTATATAGCTAAATTGATGGCCCGGTGAAGGTTAACGGCCCTGTCCAGACTCCTGCCAGATGGGGGCCCGTTGTTGAGTCAAATCCTTGACAAAAGAGACCAACAATAATAAACAATAGAAACCTCCCTTCGCTTCCGCTGTCCATCCATTGATTTCATGATGGATTGGATAGATAATCAATTGAAACCATTTCTTCATTGCCCAGACCCTGACTCAGCAGCCCGCGTCTGCATGTCCCGTTTTGAACTAGTGCACATTTGTCTTCGGTTAGCTTGGCACTCAGAGCCAATCAAAAATAACTATTGGCCCTGCTCCTCTGTACTTAGTAAATTTCTTTTCTTTTTTCTTTTCTTTTTTCTTTTTTTTTTTTCAAAAAAAAAACCTTCTCGCCTTTTTGTCCATTTTCGTCAATTCGCCTCGTTTCTCTCTCTCTCTCTTCTACCTCGTTTTCATTATCCTTCTTATACATGGTATCTTCCTTAGGGTCATTATTATTCCGAACAATGATTCATGGCTTGTGCACACCGTAGCACTGGAAAGAGCAACCAGAGATAACCAGCTAAGAAATATACACACTATTACCATCAGGTACACCGGGCTAAAATCCACCAGCAACGGGGCATCTTGGTTATGAGCATACTTTTTCCAGTGCTCTTAACCTCGATTACATACCCATGGCTCATGCATAACCACATCATTTGTTAGCTAATTAGGAGTGAGTTAGTAGCATTTGGAGATGATGATGTTTAATCAGGAAACGCCTGGGGTGCCCCAAACTCTATCCGCTTCGCTGTTGCGACCGTCACCTCACGTCAAGCAGTTCACCGTCCTAGACTTCTCCAGGTAACGACTTTTTCTTTGGAGTGATCAACGCAGTTGGTGGTACTCCTGGGGAAAACCAGCCCGGCTTCTTCAGTATGATTCGCTCTGCCTTCCCAACTGAACCACCGGACCAGAGCTTGCCCCCTCCAGACAGACAGACTTAGTCTGCCTTTAACGTAAGGAGATTGATTATCGGGCTCGGGGAGGGCTCCACCACGCTGTGGCCACGGGCGAAACTGCATCCTCGTTTTTTCTTTTCCTTCCCCCCCACAATCTGAGCAAAATGTAGAAAAAGCCTAAACCCGCAGCTTCTTAATAATTGACTATAGATACGTACTAGAATACTACGGAGTACTCATCTGCTAGACTACTCTGCTACTTTGCTGACTTACTAGTCAAGCAAAGGCCAGCCCATCCTCCACCCTCCCGTCAGCCCGCCCATAATACGTATAGCCCTCCCCCGGTGTGTCTGCAGCCCTCCGCTGCCGTCAAACTTTCTATCTTTTTTTTTCTCCCCTTCCCTACTCTCTGCCTTCCTCTGATCTCTCTCCTCTTCTTCTCTTTCTTCCCTTCTATTAGTATAGCGCCTCTTTCTTCTTTCCGCCTGACAATTTACAACCACCTCTCCGCTCCGCTCCCTTCTTTTCGCCATGGCTCCCACTACCCGGGATCTTGAGGCTCTCACCGTCCACCACGACTCCGACATCATGGCTGATGATCTGGCCGAGAAGAAGGTCTCCGCTAATGAATCCCCCCCGGAAAACGACCCTTTTGGCAATGAGGAGTGTGGTGAGGTCAAGTACCGTGTCATGAAATGGTGGCACTGTGGTATATGTAAGGTTCCTCGGGGCTTCCCCCAACCCCAACCCCATCCAAGGGTAAAGAATTACCATCTAAACCGAAATGTGATAGTGATGATTGCGGAGAATATCTCCCTGGGAATTCTGTCCTTGCCATCGGCCGTGGCGACTCTTGGAATCGTCCCGTAAGTGCTTCCACTGTCAAGTTTCACTTTATTCCGTACCCTCTCTAACATACCCCGGTTCAGCTCCATCTTCCTCATCCTGGGCTTGTCTGGCATTTCCTGGTACACTGGTTATGTCATCGGCCAGTTTAAGCTGCGCTATCCCCAAGTCCACAGCATGGGTGATGCGGGAGAAATCCTCTTTGGCCGCATCGGCCGCGAAATTCTCTTCTTTGGCCAATTGCTGTTCTGTATCTTTTTGATGTCCAGCCACATTCTCACCTTCACCGTGCTGTTCAACACCATTACCGGTCATGGCACCTGCACCATCGTCTTCGGCGTCGTCGGTTTGGTTGTCAGCTTCATCGGTGCTCTGCCTCGCACCATGGGCAAGGTGTATTGGATGTCTCTCGCCTGTATGTCCACGATGTTTCTCATTGTTGTTTGGTTTTCAGACCAAGACTGACCACCGTCTTTCATTTTCGCAACAACAGCTTGTACCAGTATCACCGTTGCCACGATCGTCACCATGGTGGCCATCGCTATGCAAGCGCCCGATCACGTTCAGGTCGATATCACCACCCATCCTAGCTTCTCGACTGCTTTCCTGTCAGTGACCAACATCGTCTTCGCCTTCAGTATGTCCCTCTTCGTCTTCCCTTCTTTTCTCAAAGCATCCTTCCTAACTCTTGTTCTGCAGTTGCTCACGTGGCCTTCTTCGGATTTGCCTCGGAAATGGAGGATCCTCGCGACTTCCCCAAGTCGCTGGCCATGCTGCAGGTCACGGATACAACCATGTACATCGTCACGGCCATGGTCATCTACCGTTACGCTGGTCCTGATGTTGCTTCCCCGGCGCTGTCCTCTGCCGGTCCGCTGATGAGCAAGGTTGCCTACGGCCTTGCCATTCCTACCGTGAGTGTCTCCCCCCATGTCTTTGTTCGGTAAATTTTTCCATTTCGTATACTAATATATTGGTTGCTCAGGTGATCATTGCCGGAGTTGTGTTCGGTCATGTCGCGTCCAAGTACATCTACGTTCGTGTCTGGCGCGGCTCCCCCCAGATGCACACGAACAGTCTTGCGGCTGTCGGATCGTGGGTCGCCATTGCACTGGGCGTGTGGGTAATTGCTTGGATCATTGCCGAGTCAATCCCCGTGTTCAACGATTTGTTGAGTTTGATCGTATGCTTCCCTAGCCCCTGAGACATGCGGTAGACTTGTTGTTACTAACGGGTGTTGTGATTGCAGAGTTCTCTCTTCGGTAGTTGGTTCAGTTGTAAGTCCACCCTCTTTACTCTTTATTTTGGACCCCAGGCTTACCCTTCCATTTCAGACGGACTCCCTGCCATGTTCTGGTTGGTCATGAACCGTGGCCAGTACACTGCCTCGCCCAGAAAGATCTTCCTGACCATTGTCAACCTGGTCATCTTCGGCATTGCCTGCGCCATTGTATGTTGTCAACTTATCCATCCCCGTTCTGCAATTGCGCATTGACACTAACCTGACCAGTGCGGCTTGGGTCTCTACGTCTCTGGCAAGGCCATCCACGACAGCTCTTCCTCGGCCAGCTGGACGTGCGCCAACAATGCCTCCACTTAAGGGTGGATCGAGTCCTTCCGAGCGAAGTCTTCACAGGGTCCACCTCGGCCTCTCTGCTAACCTCCCAGATCGAGCTGGGCTGTTCTGGGGTATTCAACGCATTGGTGTTCGTATAGGTGTTTGATGGGTCATTTTCGATGAGTTCCGAGAAATGGTTTTTCATGTCATGTTTATGTTTTGTGTCTATGGTTTTGTTTTTCCCCCACTAGCCGGCATCCACTCGCACCTATTACCTGTTTGTTCATTGCATGTCATTATCATCCCCCTTGTGTACAGAATGTATATACTACCTCTGCTGCTGCTATTACTACTACTACAACATGACGATGACTACTACTCTATCCTGGTTGGTCCACTCGCTTGCGGTTGTTTCTGCCGGGTGGACATGGATGCAGAGATCCTCTTCGGTACATTGCATCGCATCATGAAGATTTTGGTCTTGCATTTGGGCTTGAAAAATAGCGCGCAAGTCTTTTGACATATTTAGGAGAATAGACTTGATTACGAAAAAGAAATTATGGACTATAAGACCAGACCTTGCACATTATGTAGTGCCTGCTTTCGTCGTGGTTCATGTTTTCAACGACCTTGTTTTTGGCTTCATCCTAGCGGTATCTAGCACGGCACCAGTCCAGCCGCACCCGATGAACACCCGCTAACAACACCACGATGGCTGATCTCCCACCCTGATCCTCACAGCAGCAGGCGTCCCTCGGTGCTGCTCCGACTGGCTGGTCCCGAACGCCCTGTCGGCGCCGGTCACAACCCTAATTCGTCTGCCTGACGGGCAGTTCTGCTAGTGGAGGGTTTAGGGACACATTTTGGGCACTAGTAAGTCTGGGCAGGGGCAATGGTGATGGCGGATTGGAGGAGTGACTTGGTGCCGCAACCGAGTGGGGAGCTATCTCGTTAGCTTGTCTGTTATCCGGAACCTCGTGCATGTGAGAGCATTCAGAGTAAAAGCTGGCGGAGATACACCCTCACCTTGAAGATCGGTTCAAGTTCCAAACTGCAAGGCTTCATCGTACGATAATGAGAGAAGACTCAACCTGCAACCCCAGCATAGGCGACAGATTCAACCCTCCGCAGAGTGCATGCACATATTCAAACTCATCCCCCCGTCAACCCTCAGCTCCGTCTCTCTGATATCCGTGCATGCCAAGTGCATCTCTTCCGCAACATGCCGGGTGGGTCGCTATCTCACACAGGAAAGAACTGTTCAGGTCTTTAAAAAGTTCATTGTCCGACCCAGGTACATCGCTCTGCAAAGCTTTCTTCCCCCTTTTTCGCCTTTGGCCATGTCTCGTCGATTTGCAGATTGACAAAGCGTGATTACTGGTCACTGCAAGAGGGACAACGTTACAGCTCGCATCTCCAGCGTTGCGTCGGAAGCGCCCGTCTTTTCCATCACCCCTAGCTTCCTGCACCGCCAATGAGGCGTCGCTGCCTTTGGATTATCCAGGCAATTGTCCTGCTGGGCCTTCTCTCTGCATTTTACTATACACATATACAGTCCCAGGCGCTTTCACAGCAAGATTCTGTCCCGACTGACCCTCTCGAGGTTGCCATTCCGCAGACAGTCCACCAACTCTTCATCTCGACACCGGGAACCCGCGGATCCAGCTTCAATCCGGATAGACACAGCACCTCGTGGCTCCAATCAGGATGGAAGGTCGAGTACTGGAGGGAGTCGTCGTGTCTCGAACTTGCACACGAGCTCGATGATACTGGGTCATACGCCGCCACATTTCAGGCCCTACCCGTCCCGATTCTGAAATCTGACTTTTGTCGCTACCTGATTTTATTCGGGCGGGGTGGGATCTACAATGACCTCGATGTCCACCTCCTCCAGCCGCTGCCGTGGCCAGTAATGGGCCCAGTCAAGGATGGGGATGAAGAACCCCCGGCTGTTATTGTCGGTCTGGAAGGCGATGCCGCCACAACTGGCCTGCCCCGATCTCCGCAATTTGTTCAGTGGACCATGGCATCTGTTCCCGGTCACCCCATCTTTCGGGACGTGCTGCAGTCCATTGTAGACCGCACAGGTCACTATGCCTCGACTCAGACTGCAGAAGCTGAGGCGGACATTGACGTGATGAGCTGGACTGGTCCCAGTGTGTGGACAGATGCGGTACTGGGCTATCTACACTCCGATGATGAGCAGATTCAACAACTCCGCGATCTTCACGAGATCGTGCGCATGCATGACGTGGTCATCCTTCCGCGACGATCTTTTGCGGTGCTCCAGGGTGAAGACCAGTCTGCACCAGACGTTCTGGTCAAGCATTATTTCTCGGGAAGTTGGAAGGCGTGTGCTCGAGAATGGCTCCGCTGGCTATGGCCGGGAGGTTGTTGACTGCTGCAGGTCGAAAGAACCGCTGGAAGTAATGATTCGATTGGTTTGGGAGTACTTCAATTACATTCGTATTTTATACAATCGTCTCGCTCGTCATAACAGATGGTGGCCGGACATATTCGGAGTGGGAAGCCGTAGTGGGTTCGCTTTCTCCAGATATTCGGGGCAACAGAACATGGCCTTTATATTCCTTCCCCGTAACGAGATCAGCCGATCAGAACATCTGATCGGACACATCCAGCCCTCGATCAAGTTCATCCGCCTCTTTGCGCAAGACCTCCGCCCGGAACTTTCGAAATGCCGTCTCGATTCTCTGTCTTCGATCGGGATCCGCCGTGATGCAGCGACTTCCACTTCCTGCTCCTCCCAAGAAGCCTACAAAAGAGTGATACTTAGCAGATGCCTACTAAAACACGGTCTTTCAAAGCGTGCAGGCGCATAAACCTACCGAGTTCGCCGCCTAGGAAGAATCCTCCCGCGCTCGCAAAGAAATAAGTAGCGAAATCACCCAGGGTGGTGGGTTTCAGCAGTGGAGTGATATCTGGAATCGGCTCTGGTTTGCCACGGGGTTAGCGTACAGCATTTGAGCAGGAGGAGCACTAGACTCAATGAATCTACCAGAGCGACCGCCGGCAAAGACAACGTGGGTGGGCTTTTCGCGGGCGCGGAAGACCTCGAAGAAAGCCTTGCGTGAACTTCTCAGACGGAAGGCAGCGTAGAGACCCAGACCGAGTCCTACGGCTGAGCCAATTGTCGTCCACCAGGCGACCTTTTGTGTGGCTGTGGTGAGAGCGTCGCGGTCTTCAGCGCGCAGGTCATGCTGCAGATGCTCCTCCGCCAGACGGGCGAGCTCGTTGCTGCGGCGATTGCGGAGAGCGGGATAAAAGTCGGGCATGGTGACAGTGAGATAGGTAATTATAAAGAGAGTATTACAACTAGTAATGGAGCATACAGAGAGCATTGACAAGGGATGAGGGTAGTATTCGCCGAGTTTATATAAGGATGGATGAGGGCGTAGACAAAAGCAGGGCGCGGGGCAGGACACATGATGACGTCATGAACCGGGGTTTTGTTCATGATCAGGTACTACTACTACGTATGGCATATTGTTTGTCTGGGCTCCGTAGTAGATTGAGATGAAGTACTACTACTCTACTCAGATGACTGTGTGCCTTAGTGGACTTAGTAACTACTACTGGGGTGAGGGATTGAATTCAGCTGAACAGTGTAAGTGGAAGCAGGGGAACTAACATTTGTATAGTATATATCTTTATCCTATCATCCAACGATCGACTGCGGAGGGGACTTCACGAGAGTGTCACAATCTTAGTATGATATTTGGAGGTTTATTTTTGGCTTCTCCTTCTGAGTTTCTAGTCGCCAGGTAACGCTCTATCGCGAGCAATTACTACGGGCGTACTCATGATCCATCAGAAATAATGACTACGAGTGACTACATAAGTAACTAGATAGTATAGCCATTCAGGCAATCAGGCCATAAGGCACCAAGACACCAAGGCACCAGAGCGGTGGGGACCTGCTGCCGGTCCCGTGACCCCGCGTCCAAGTAATTAATTAAAGTAAATTAAACAAAGTTGATCAATCAATTATACTTCGACGCGACGCGTTTCTTGATCTTCACTTTTCACCGTCTTTCTGGCTGGCAGTCCAGGTAGTTAGTGGGACTAAGCTTGCTTTTCTTCTCTGACCTGGTGCCAATGCTTCGATCCTGATTGACCTTCCTCTCCAATCTCCATTGTTCCTTCCATCTTTCATCTGCTCGTCCTGTTTCCAGCTCCTTAAACACCATGGTTCACATTCAAGACCTCCCTCGGGAGCTGCTTCTGCATATTTTCTCCTCTGTTGCCCACAGCGATCCTTCCAACCCACTGGATCAGAACACCAAGTCTTCCGATGAAAACGTCAAGACTCAAACCCAACAACCTCCTGCCGATAGACTGTTCCCACGCCCTCCTTGGGTCGCTGAGGATAAAGATGATGAGACCGATGAGGAGAATCCCGAGGATGATTGGGAGGGAGGGAGCACACAGATCCAGGACGTGATCGACGTGTACAATCTGTGTCGGGTGTGCCGCTTATTCCGCGACCTCGCCCAGCCCCTGCTGTTCGAGCATGTTGATCTGTCTGGCTTCCCTGGTGACATGCGGAACCTCGTTCTTCTTACCCGCACCGTCCTTTGCCGTCCCAGCCTAGGCGAACATATCCGCAGCCTCTCCGTCCTTCCAGACCACGATCATCACGTCTTTGGTAAAAGCCCAAAGCCCCTGACCGCCGACGACCGAAAGCTCTTTAGCTCCTCCATACGCGATATCGGCTTAGCCAAGGAGGACGAGCGCGACTGGATGAGTGCTTTGAAGAAGGAGGAACTCGACTACAGTCTTATGGTCCTCTTGCTCATCTTGAAAGCTCCAAATCTCCGCTTGTTGACAGTGGCGGGAGGTTACTTTGCCATGAAGCCACTCGAACAACTCTGGAAGCGCCATCCCGCCGTATTGTCAAAACTCGAGGACCTGTGGTTTGAGGGTGACGATCTCCTCAAGGGCTATCCGCTTACTATTTACGAGGAGATGATCAGTCGGCCTCAGCTACGCTCGTTAAATATTGAAGAAGCCCACCTCAGTGACGACCTATTTCCCGCCTGTTGGACTCCACAATCGTTAACCACGAGCCGGATCAGCCTACGCCTCTGCCACATCGATGCCCCCTCTGTCACCAAGTTACTTCGCGCATGCCGCACAGTGACTCACTTCATCTACGACAACTTTACCATCGACCCTGAGGACCAGCCTCATAACCTCCGCCCCGTTCGCGAAGCCACCGCTCCCGAGTTATGCGCCGCGCTCCTCCCCCACAAGGACACCCTAGAATGCCTGACAGTGACCTTCAACCGCGAACCCCAGGAACGAGAGAACATCGATGATTACGTGGCCCGCCAGGCGAAGATCGGCCCGCTGCGCGACTTCTCCGTGCTCCGGCGACTCACCGTTCAGCAAGCGTTCCTGCCGCTGCAGCCCCAGTTCCCTCCCACCCTCGAACAGCTCACTGTCGACGACTGCAACGTCTCCGTCCGTGGGTTGGCCGAGCATCTGGCTAAGGAACATCGACAGGGACGCCTTCCCGCACTCAAGCGCGTCGAAATGCTCGCCGTGGATATTACCGACCCCATCAAACTTCCGGGTCAGCAGATCCCATTTGGCCAGACGCCGGAGCAGTCTTACACAAGCATTAAGGATCTGTTCAAGGACACGTCCGTCGATTTCACCATCACTCCTTATCCGGATTGTCCGCAGAACCTCGCGGGCGACTCCGACCTCGACGACTACTCTGATGATGACCCTTACGATATGACAGATGAATATGGCTTACTGGGTCTCCGCGAAGGGGGTAACAGCCTCTTCCAGGCGATGCTCATGCAAGCGATGCGGGCACAGGAGGACCATTACATGGATGATGAGTTCGACGAGTGAAACAGATGACCGAGCGAGTTGATGACGAAGATCACGAGTAATTTGGGAAATGTATCACGATCATAATATCTCTATTTAACTAGGCTGGATCTAGACCTTGTTGGAATCTCATACTTTCGGGTTGTTGATGGACACTGCTACGGGCCATGGGAAGTCCCGCACGTATTTTTTCGGGAATAAATCATGATTCGCTGGCAATGAACTTTTCTTTCGTGGAAGAGCAAACTTTTCCGGGGCGATACTATCGTGGAAGCCGGACAGAGCCAGCCAGTCTTGTTCCTTCAGGAGCAACCATACATGCCACACAATTCACTGGCCGCAAAACCCACCTCAGCCTCCATATACACATCGACCGCATCACTGTCATCATCATGACAATCTGTCGACACGAAGATAGCATCAGTAGTATCTTCGTTGTCCTGATTCCAAAAATAATCCTTCGAGACCTCGAGGCCGCGGAGATCCGAAAACGGAGACAGAGGATCAACCTGAGCAATCCCCAACGTCACAGCTATCCCCCCATGAATTCGCTTATGCGCCTGATACCCCCTGAAATGCAGCTAATACCAGTACCCGCCGAAGCCGGGATAGGTGTAGCCGCCTAGATTGGTGGTTAGCCAACTGCCCCCGTTCGTCTGTGTGCTGCCCTGCGGATCCCAGAGGAAGAACTTGCTGCCATCGCGGACCGTGTAATTCCACTCTACATCTGCGTGAATTGGGAATGACCGTGTGTCCCACACTTGGAAGGTTCGTCGCCCGCTTCCGAACTTGTAGTAACTGTATACGCCGCCGTCTGAGCCGAGTGACTTGCCGCTATTATTGTCTTTGATGTAGTAGCATTCGCCGTAGTGTATATCTAGGCTGCTGCTGGTTGGCCCTTCCTCATTGTCCGAGGGCGTACTCAACATCGATCTTGTCAGAGGCGTAAGGTCAGACAGGGCAGGGTAAGAGTGACCGGCGGTCGCAATAAACTCGGCTGGAGGGCTGGATGACCACAGACCTGCTTGAAGAGTGCCGTGGTCGTAAGGACGGTCAAGGCTCAGGCCAAGCAACTAGACATGCTGGGTAGGTGTGGATGCAGGCTGCAGTGTAGCTGCTTTAAGTACAGAGGTGTCTGGAGGGCACAAACACCCAGAGGTTATGGTGGATCCCGTGATAAGCACATGCTTATATACCCAGTTAAGTCTTTCGCACCCTGCTGCGAACATGGCCAGTGAGCCGTAGCGTCACACTATTCTCTGGAAGGCCGCGGATGATATGAAGGTTATCTTCTATTGATGGACGTACTTACAGCCCTTTGGGGAGAGGTTCGTCATAGTGTAGCGAGACTATCGTGGGCGAGATATAAAGGCAAAACATACATTAGGGAGCTACATGTACTGGCCAATGCCGGTGCAGGGCCGAGAATGGCTGGGTTGGTTAGGCAGGTCGGGGCTGTTCTGTTGACAATGGGACTACGATGGGTGAACCGAAAGGTTTAAACCTAATACCCTGGACTTCAGTCCTGAGTCTGACATGCCCGCCATCCGATACCGACGAGAAGGCTTCCAAGAAAAGCTCTGCGGCCATTGTGGGCAGGCTAGCCTCAGGCCGACTCCACGATATAAAGCTGACGATCTGCTCTCAACGTCGTCTCTGCGGCCTTGCGAGACCTTTTGTCGGTGTGATCACCATCATATCTAGAGTGGCTATACCTGACCGTTAGCTGGCGGTCAATTTAACCGTACAGTTAACAGTCATATATATTTTCATTAACCTGATGGTCCCAGACATAATAATTCAGCTATTTTATCACAGATTTTCTGTAGAATTTCCGGACCTTTTATTATTTCTTAGAGTTACCTATCATTACAACCAGTAAGTTTAGGTGTATTCGCTTATATGGTTACTACGAATCTCTTCCTCTATACATTCCTGGCAGCGTCGAAAGACGGTTAAAATAAAAAGTGGTCGATCATAATAAACAACGTCAGTAATAGTAGAATCTCGTATATTATCAATCACCCGAAATCCTAATTCTTTCCTCCATATGATGGTGATTCCTTTATGGGTTGAACTCGAACAAACCTTCCAATGGAGATCTAGCACAGCTACTATAATGAAACTCCAAACCAGTTGAATGTCTCAAACAGACTTTTCATAGATCTCGCAGTGTTTTAAGCTGTGAGAGACATAGATTAATTTTCGATACAAGGGTGCTCTTGTTCGCACACGAGGCTGGGGTCTCTTGATCGCGTCCTTGTTGAGGCCCTTTATGGCGAGCAGTATCGCAATTACCCCCTGTTGTTCTTCTGCCGTAGCCCATGAGAACGGTATGATTCCTTCAAAATAATTAAAGTCTAAATTGACTCCTTTCACCGCGAGTAGCAATTTGATCACATCTGTCAATCCCCTCCCTGCCGTCAGCGAAAATGGCGGTCGTCCGTCATCATCCCTTGACCCTGGGTCAGGCCCGTTCATGAGCAGTAGCTTAAGTATCCGCCTCGTCGCCTTTGCCTGCGGCCCAGCATACTGAAGCTTCCCCTCATGAATTTTTAATGTCCGGATCAATACTCTCATGTTCCAGTAGTAAACCTAGCCCCAGGAGGGCGGATGACGAGGAGAGTTCAAGAAGCGTATTTCAGTGCGTTTGGATACGAAAAAGGCTTCAGTTTAGACGCAAGACCCTGGGGCTTCTGCAAACGTGATATACTCACTTGCTTCTTCCAACCACATAAGCGCCAGCGGCTTCTGCAATCTGAGAAGCTGTGAGTTCTTTTCTGAATAACATATCATGGATGAGATCGACAAATGGTGCATTAGCACTGTAGGCATCGGGAACGGAGAAGGTCACTTCCCGAATCCAGGCATGACATGGGAAGATTAAGGCATGGGATGCGGTGCTCATTATATTAATAGCATCTTTGCATAGTCCATATTTATCAAATACACCAAGAAATTCTCAACGCGCAAATTGTTGTATTCTCTATCTAGATGCGAACCGCAGCAACACGGTGACTCCTGGCTCTGCCCAATCACTGACTAATCTACACATCCGCTCTCAGCATCGAAATCAATGTAGGTCCCTTTTCGTTCGAGATTATCCTCCTAATCAGCAGTCTGATTAACAACTTCAATAACAACTTTGCCAACCTGCTGTCCGCTCTCCAGTATTTGATAAGCCTCCTTGTATTCCGCAAAGGAGTACACCTGATCAATAACCGGCCTCGTCTCATGTCTTGCCATCGCCGCAAGCATTGCCTCAAAATCTAGTCGTGACCCGATAATTGATCCAGTCAACGTCAGGGTCCGAGCCATGATATCAATAGGCGGGATACCGCCACCAAGACCACTTGCAAAGCCGATTAGAATAATTACACCACCTATCTTGGTGCATGCCGCGGCTTTCTGAATAGTCTTCTCTCCAGCAATATCAAGGGTCCTGTCCACCCCCTTGCCATCAGTTAAAGTCAAGATCTCGCGATCCCAGTCTGGAGAAGTGTTGTAGTTTACTACAGCATCTGCACCGAGTGCCTTCAGCCTAGCAGCTTTGGTATCAGACGAGGTAATAGCCAGCACACGAGCGCCATAGATTTTCGCAATCTGTAGCGCGAATAGTGAAACGCCCCCGGTTCCTTGAATCAGTACCGTCTGGCCAGGCTGAAGAGGCTCAATTTTATTCAGTGCTGTCCACGCTGTTACTGCTGCACAGGGAAGCGAAGCAGCTTCAGCATAGGACATATAATCGGGAATGTGTACAAGTGCATCTTCATGAAAGAGCACGTACTCTGCGAGCATTCCATCGATGCTAAACCCAGCGCTCGTGCGAAAATATTCTGGAATAAATGGGCCGCCAATCCAGGTTGTAAAACAACCGACTGCAACCCGATCATTGGGTTTAACCCGTTTTACTCCTGGCCCGACCGCGATAACCTCGCCGGCGCCGTCGGAAACAGGAATCACCTCCTCCTTGCTATTGACAGGAAAGTCGCCTCGCAGTAGCACTGCATCTCGGTAGTTGAGTGAGACGGCGTGAACCCGGATCAAAACTTCGTGTTGACCTGGGCTGGGCAAAGGTTCCTCACGAAGCTCGGTCATAAGCTTATTACCTCCTGCGGTAACAGCGCGGACTGCTTTCATTTGCTGCATGGGTGGCGGATAATAAAATGAACTCGTTTAGGTTCGATTCGATCGGTAAATTGACTGTGAGTGAAAAGACTGTCTGATTCGTAAGTATCAGAATCCTGCATGGGAAAAAGAAATGATATATAAACCTTTTCTTGTAAAGCTCCAGATTGTGTTCTTCAGACAGCAGAGGACATCCAGTGCAGATGGTATTTGATACTTGTCGTAGCGTATTTATAATGATATGTTGACAAATCTATACCAGCGAGCAGGCTTTTGGCTTGGTGGGCTCTCCTGAGGTCGCACATATCAGTTAATAATTGCATTAGAGTGTTAATAATATGGTAAAGAAAAATATACAAGCAAGGCGGGCCTTTCGGTCGGTGACGGGTACTAACTAGGCTCTCCAAGGTGGGCACTCCGAGGTCGACATCATTTTGATGCGGGAAGTCAACAGGCAGGCTTTTGGTGGAAGGAATTCATTAAACTGCGTGGCATATTCGTGTCATACCATTACATACGCCATATTTCCACACAAGAATCCCGCACCCCGCAACCCTACTAACAACCGATCAACTCGGTTATGGACATATATCCAACAACCACGGCTCCGCCAAAAGGAGCATCTTCGCCGCCATGAAGCGCAACACCAACAGAAGCGTCTCCGTTGCCACAGCCTGCGATCGTGAGTTTGGGCAAAGGTACGTTGTGGTTCTTTAATCAGGTCAGTGGGATGAGTGACCCTGACAATCCACCTTAGTGATGTACTTCGACAACACATGTGACGAGTGCATGGGAAAAGGAACATATCACAAAGAATACTCATGCCGATATCAGCCATGTTACAGAATCTAGTTATTATAAGATATCATATAATTTATAAACTACTTATAAACTCTGTCGGGCGTTGAGATTAAAGGATGACACTTGCGAGATTGTAGCATCCCATTCCCAGGCCGCCCGGAGAGAGGTTTGTGCATGGGTGGTGGATAGCCCATGAATCTGCTCGGTCTTGAGCAAAATGTCAAACAGGGCCTCTTGCTCCCTTCTATCAGTCATGCGATCACCACCTGAAACAACAGGATCAGCCAGGATATTTTTGCCATAGGGGAGAAAAGATAGCATACACATGGATACTCCCATACAGGCAGCAACGAGGGCCGGAGCGGTTTTGTTAGAGATGGCTATCCCACAAAGACTGAAGACATGGTGCTTGACCTCGGCCTATCGTAGTTAGCGATCAGACTCAACTGCACGCGAAGTTGTACATCTGATACCTCTCTTCGTGCAACGGCTGCCTTGCGACCAGGCCCAAGGCGAGGCACCGTGGGATCAAACACCGTCAGAAGAAGACGTGCGAGGTGGCAATGCTGAATACCAGTGACTGTGAGCTTGGTCAGCATTGATTGATCTTCTCTTCTAAGGAGTCTAGTCTTACCGATGCAGTCATCCAAATACCACAAAACGGGAAAAATCTCCCCCTTGACGGTATTTGGAGGTCGACAATACAAGGGGTCAAAGGTAGGCGGAGTTAGAGCTTGCCATTGCTGGTTGTAGGCACACAACTCCTCGTATCGCCCCCGGGTCTGACCTTCCTCACCATAGCAATACCGGAGCACATCGACACAGTGCAACACCACTCGATTCGCCCAGGTGGGATCGTCCGCGGAATCCAACTGGCGATAGACAGACGCTTCACAGCAACTGAGATCGAGCTTGGCGACTCGCTGTTCGAGGAAGGCCTTGTGAAACTCCTGTCGGATGCCAACCCAGAAGGCCGCTAGTTGCAGTCCGCCACAGCACAATGCAGCGTGGCCCTGAGCGTTGAGGAAGACTTGGGTGCCACGCAGATGAGTTTTCCCGTCACTGCCAACTAGGGCCGCTGTGACTCATGCCTGTCAGCAATTTAAACATAGATTGCAGGTAAACGAACCCGACTAACCGTCGAATTCCTCATAAAAACGCAGGATGACAGACGCCGCCAGGAGGTCCACGTTGTGAATCTCGGCGTCATCTGCTGACACCAAATGGGAAATGCAGAGAGACTGGTAATCGAGGGCCATGCCATCCCCAAGATTGGGTAGACGTCTCCCCGCAAAGGCGACCGGGCGGGTCCCCGTGGACTGCCAGCGACCGAGATGTCGTGCAGCTGCCGAGTAGACAGCGTAGAGCAAGGCCGGACACTGGGCTGCGCGATCCGGCATTACAAGGGCAAAATGCTTACCAGCATCGCAGGAATCGAACTGCATCCGACATTCTCAGGGGTCGTGTTGCTGATGAGGGTTGAGGGAATAGACTTTACCCATGGGGCCAGCTCCTCAACGAAGTAGCGCATCAGGCATGCCTCCTGCACGGCCCGATCAGTCCATATCGACGGTTCGGCTGGATGTGGAGAATTTCCTATCAGGCTGTCATTATCCCGGGTGGAATCTGGCAAGCTCAGCACTGACATGGTTGAATATGGGGGATGTTGATCCTTGTCAGATCGCAGAGGGTAACTGGCGGGGTTATGCGGGGTGAGATCACGGGACGACGATCCCCCCACCAGGATGACATTTACAGCTAGAATTTCTTGTTTGAACCACTCTCTATATTGTCTATCATGTATCGTTGATATATCTATGGTCTATAAGCTCCCGCCGTCACATTTACAATCGGGAAGAGCTCTTCAACTTAGCCTCCAACCTCTGACCAATCTGCGGCTCCACCCGGCTGAACATGGCAATTGTGGCCTTCTGGATCTCCGGCACCACTCCCTCCAAGGCTTCCGCCACGTTGTTCACCCAGAGGCTGCGCTCCGCCTCATCGAACACATTGTTCCACAAGGCACGGGGCTGCACAAAGTCCTCGTCGTCCACGGGGATCTCGTTGAGACCCAGCACCGCGCCGGAGCGCAGCCACTCGTGGTGGCGCACCTCCTGCACCGACTGGCTGAACACGCCAGGGGTCAGGGTGCTCTTGATGTAGTTCGGGTCGCCACCGTAGTTGCGGCCCATGGTGGCCAGACCGTCACGCTCGTAAGGCGCATACACGGGGCAGATGGCCCGGTTGGGCGGCAGCTGCGTGTAGTTGACTCCCAGACGGTAGCGCTGGGCATCGGGGTAGGCGAACATACGCGCTTGAAGCACTACAGGAGGTTAGTACGATTCCTTATCTACACAAACGTATGGGGAAAGCTTACTAGGATCAGGGGTCACGGCGATACCCGGCACCAGATTGGAGGGCGAGAAGGCGGCCTGCTCGATCTCGGCGAAGAAGTTCTCGGGCTAATCATCTATCATTAGCACGTCGGCACTAACATGAAATTATTGGCTGCTAGGGGGAAGACTACTCACGTTGCGGTTGAGGGTCATCTCGCCGACCTCGATGAGAGGGAAGTCCTTGTGCGACCAGACCTTGGTGATATCAAAGACGGCGCGGCCGTAGGTCTCGGCCTGCTCGGGCTCCATCACCTGGATGTAGAACTTCCACTTGGGGTAGTCACCACGCAGGATGGCCTGGAAGAGGTCCTCGTTGTGGAAGTCGGGGTTGACACCAGCCATGCGAGTGGCCTCCTCAGGGGTGAAGTTGTGGGAGCCCAGGACAGGTTTAAAGTGGAACTTGCAGTAGCGGAACTTGCCGTCGTGGCCCACCAGCTTGAAGGTGTGAATACCGAAGCCGGTCATGCGGCGTGCGGACTGGGGCAGACCACGCGAGCCGAAGACGTGCATCAGGGTGTGGACACTCTCGGGCTGGTTGCTGTGGAAATCCCAGTACTAGATACCCAGTTAATTCGACAGGGGTCCACAGTCATCATGATGATGAAAAGATGAACTTACCATGTTCATGTCGGGAAGACCGGTGGTAGGGTGCCTCTTGTGACTGCGGTTCAGGGAGGGGAAGCGAACGGGGTCACGAACGAAGAAGACGGGCTATCACACAGGTGAGGCGATGTCTCAAAGAGGTACACGGGAAACGAGTCAACTTACCACATGGTTGCCGACAATGTCGTGGTTACCCTCCTCGGTGAAGAACTTGACGGAGAAGCCGTGCACATCACGCACGGTATCTGCGCTACCCTTCTCACCACCGGTGGTACTGGCGCGGAAAAGCACCTTGGTGGTCTTGCCAACTCCGTTGAGGAACTTGGCGTGGGTGAGGTGGGAGATGTCCTTGGTGACGCGGAACTCACCCCAGGCACCATTACCCTTGGCGTGAACAACTCTGTTGAATGAATTGATAAGGTTAGCGGACGAAAGTGCCGATGAGCGGTGGGTCAGCCGGAAGGGCGGCCGTACCTCTCCGGAATCCGCTCCCGGTTGAAATGGGTCAACGTCTCGATCAGCAAGGTGTCACCCAAGGTGGTGATGGCACCGCCGCCAAAGGTCGGCAGGGTGGTGCTGACAGAGGGGTTGGGCAGAGGTTGACCTGCAGGAACACTGTGAGATGGGAAGTTGGACTGGTGAGAGAGAGGATACGTGTCACCTACCCTCGGCAAGGGTGTAAACGGGCTTGGACATGATGATGGACGTGAGATTAAAGTTTCCGGGAATAAGGGAGGATGCGCTAGTAAAGCTATCCGCGAGGAGGATCCAAAGGGGGTCAAAGAAGATGTCCACAGAGCCGGCTCTGAGGGATGGGGTTTGCGGTGCACACGAGAAGAGGAAGAAAAGAGTCGATGGAGACAGAAATAAGAAAACACATCCTGACGCTGAAAACCCCCCAAGATAAAATTTTTCCCTCCCGGCCGCCCTTTAGCGCCAAAAGTGGATGAGGCCGTATCTAGGACCCGACGGTTGGTGACAGCTCGACACCCGCTGGGCCAGATCTAACTGCTAACAGTATAAATTAGATAACTCGGACCAAGTTTAACCAGTTTAGGGCTTGTCCCCTCATGAGGGGTGAGGGGATCGTCGGCCCGTGAGGGGTTTCTTTTGCGTAAGTCCTCTTTCCCGTCCTTCCTATTGGTTGATGCTCCAGAGCCTCTCCCGCAGTCACATGACACTTATCATGCACGCCTGGCGACTATCCGAGGAACTGCCGAGAAATAATAAGCTAAAGATAGGGAAACTGGAAGATAAGAAAGTCGAGACACAGTGACAAGCCAACCAGCTTAATATGATTCCAAACATTGGAACCATATTCCTTATATGATAGGCAAAGACCACCAGTAATATTTACCTAACTTAACGGCCTGTGTGCGGAGAACTCCTTAAAGTTTAAGCAGCAGAGTTCAAGACATATTACTACTATCTTCTGAGGTGAACAATAGGCATGTAGTAGTAGCCGTAGTAAGTACTATTCTAATATGCATTTACCGGCCACATTCGTTTCATATATTGCGGAGACAGATAATTCTTCATTATTATTTGTGGTCTGTCAATCAATTTAACATCTAGGGCAAAAGGCATGAGTCAGATTGATGCGCTGTAATAACTAACTATCGGGTATCGGGCGATGTCAGCATAGCGCAGAGAGTTACGCGAAATTACCTTCTCTTTACCAGCCTTAACACGTTGGACAATATCAAAAAGTCATGGAAGGGTCAGCGGTGCGTAGGGCCCTGGTTAAGGCCGAGTCCGCCTTTTCTGACAAGCTTAGTAGCCTGCTGCCGGCTACAGCATCCTGGTAAGATCAATGGAGAATTAGGCTATGGCCAGTATGATGATGGATGGTAGAAGACGATGCGAAGGTCTCGTGTTTGATGAGAAAAGGGTAACCCCAGGATTAACGGAAGGTTGTACGCGACCTGTACCTGACACGTTTGGGGAATGCGAAACATGTTTCTGTAGCCCATAAAGTCATGTCACTTGGACCAACAAGAGGCATGTCAAGGATAGAGCATGCTGCCAAGCAGAGTCGTCTCCTCTACTTCATTTTCCCAAGGCGTGTACATTGGTGCGCCCAAGGAGGCACTTTGAAGATGTTGACAGGCCAATTTGGTGCTGGAATAGACAGAGCTTTGAGTTGAAGAGTAGCTTAATCGCCATCATCCGACTTTGCAAAAGCATGAAGTCAACGATATGGGTATGCTTGCATGTAACGCCCTTGGCATATGGGAACCCGAAACCGATAAAGCACTAGACAGGAAGAATGACTCTGTCCCCCCAATTGTACGCTAGAGATACACATATGCCCATGAAAAGGTTTACTGCTAAGCCAAATCGTAGGAGGACTTGCCGCAAAGGATCATCACTGGTATCGACAGGCGAACCGTGGATGATGCAATATTACCCAGATGAACCTCAAAGATCATATAAGGCCAAACAAAATTAGCGCTTATCCCCCTATTTTCTAAAAGTCGATGGACGCATACAAATTATGTCTAGCAACCTTCGCAATGATGTCGGGTTGGTGTTCCATCTCCAGTGACGCAAAGAGGACCTTTTGTGCCGAAGCGCCTCGGCTCCACCCCACGGGGACGGGAACGAGGATCACCAAGAGGTGTAACCAATACCCAAATGAGTAGGGAAGGAGCGGCAGAACTTTTGAATGATGGTATGGGTTAGGACTTCGTAAAAATATATCGCGGTGAAAGCAGCCTATAAAATTCGGATTCTGTGACGGGACTACCTGTGGAAAGTGTTCCCAAACCCAAAATCTACGAAAGCAAGTGCCATATCAAGGGCTACCATGCCCTCCAGCTGAGACCGACGGCCTTACTCCTCATACCATACTCCATCGTCGATGAACTAGCTGGCGATGGTAATGCACTTGCCTATACTCGGACTTCTGGCCGACTTCCGAGGGCTGTTGCGGTCCGCCGAGTGGAGCCGATAGAGTTGTATGGACATTACTTACCGTGGCTATCCATCTTATAAGCAAGCCATTACCCGATGAAAATTATAGATGTCTCCCCGTACTCTTTGTTACCTTGATCAAATAGTTAATTTGACTTCATCATGACGATCCGATACTTGAAAAGCAAGTCTCAATCCCCCAACTCAGCTGCGACACCTCAGGTGGACGTGAGTAGCGTCGTAAAGGGGGTAATCGACGACGTCCGTGCCAATGGCGATGCAGCAGTCCGTAAATACTCAGAGAAATTTGATCGCTGGTCGCCAGCTTCGTTCAATCTCTCTCAAGCTGACATAGATGCTGCCCTGGCGGCCTGTTCGCCCCAAACGATTGCCGATATCAAGGAGGTGCAGAAGAACGTTCGTGCCTTTGCACAGGCCCAGAGAGACTCCATCCGCGACTTCGAGTATGAGATTCAGCCGGTAAGCCCGTTCAGTTTAGGAGAGCCACGAGGCTTTATGCCTGCGAAGAGCCAACTGACCAGTCCAAGGGAGTGCACCTGGGCCAGAAAAACCTTCCCATCAACAGCGTTGGAGCGTACGTGATAAGCCAAATTCTACCCATTAACCTAATACTCATCGATGACACTAGGTACATCCCCGGAGGACGCTACCCGCTGCTAGCATCCGCCCATATGACTATTCTGACGGCCAAGGTGGCTGGCGTGCCTCATGT